CTCTGTCATGCTGTCTCCACGAGGGGACTATGTTGTTCGCGATCAACGTCAGCAGAAGCTTCTCCGACTCCAAGGCTCTCTCTCTCTCTCTCTTCCCAAGGCTTGCTCTGAAGTTGGGAAGCCAAGCGTGCCAGGCAACTTCCGTGAGAAGGCGGTCAAGGTCATCAGCGCGCAGGGGTACCCGATATATCCCGACGTTGTAGGCAGCACTTTGGCGTTGTCAAGCTTTCTGTTCTTCAGGCTCTAGACTGCAGCGCCTTGGCGTTGGCATGATCCAGCCTTTCCGAAGCTGCTGTAAGACGCAGCCAACTGTAGCAGGTCCTGAGCCCATGCTAGAAAAGAAGGTAGAGTTTCACATTAGGAGGAGGGGTGTGGGTGTGGGTCCGCTAAGCCCAGGCACTCAGGCCATCGCTTCAGTAACATCCTAGAGCCACTCATCACATGTGATCACTCGCTGAGGTCGGGACAGCTGGTGGCTCTGAGTGAGCGCTGCATCATTACCTTCGATAGCGGCTCTCATTACCAGGCCGCAAGAATCAGCTAAAGATTCTGAGGGCTTGCATAGGCACACCCTGGCTGGATTGCAAAATCCATACTGCCAGGTCTAGAACCCAAAAGGCCCCGTGAGCAACGTTTTTTGATCCGTGTTCACACCAGCAACCCGTCTTAAAGCCTCTAAACTTGTCAAGAGAGGCCTGAAATGAAAAATGTTTGCGGGCTTTTCTGAGTTCAAATAGGTTAAAGGGATCCACACGGGAAGAGATGGTTTGGGGCAGGCATTGCTTCTGAGTTCCAAACAAGCTGTGTTCTACCCAGCCTGTATGCATGTTTGGGAGCCTGACAATGCTTTGGGCTCTGTTTGGCTAATGCTTGGTGTCCAATATTTGGTCTCCGCACGGATCCGCACGGGCTGTCGTCTGGTGTGTGAAAGAAGGAGTGGGCCAAGCAGTAAGAGTAAACTGACAATGGGAGAGGGAGCGTGCGCAGAAGCACCGGTTCAATCGTACGGCATAAACAAGATTGGTCGCACGGGGAGGTGGGGGGCGGGAGTGTGGGCGGGTGGCCGGGGGGGGGGGGGGTCGGGCAACATTTCAGCCTCAGAAACGCGCCGCATACCTCTCCTCAAGATGAGCATCAGTCGAAAACTACTTGTACCTAGGCTTACGGTGAAGCATGAGGCGGCTGTTACGCGTGGCACTTTAGGACATGACATCTCTAGCACAAACCAGAGACCAAGCATTTCAGCATGTAATGTACGCATGGTATGGCAACTCTCGATATCTGGCACATACCTTCCCTAGTGGTGCGATTGTGATGCTTGACGGTTGTTATGGCATCCTGCCAGGTGCGTGTCGCTCCGGAGACGGATGCTGGTCTAGTACTGTGCAGGCAGCATTCTTCACGCTTCGTCTTGCTTGTAAGCTTCAAGCAACAAAGCATTTGCGGAACTGCAGTCTGCTCGCGGTGGACAAGATTGAGGGAGGTCGTCTTCGCTGACTCTACAGGCGGCAGCTGTTGCCAGGCTGCTTGGAATTCGGGCTTGGCTGCCTCGCTGGCACCAACGAAGGTCCGGTAGCAGCTGCCTCGGCCCTTGAATCTTGAAGCTGATGCTCACCAAAAACCACATGTAGGAAAGGGCGCCGACTGCTGGCTTAAACTTCCAAACTGCGAGGGGGAGCAACAGGCTGCTTTTGGTTCAGGTGAGAAACACCTGCACAAGCGAATTCATGGAATGGGCAGAAGGCCTCAGTCTATCAAGGCTGCGCAAGTGCTACAACCTGTACTAAGTGTATACTAAGTATGCATGCTTGCTACTCTGCTGAGCGCTGAACTGGATAGGGCCTGGCATGTGCGGATTTTCCAGCTGGCGCAGCCTTGATTGGCACAGGCCCTTAGGGCAACAAACGCATGCAAAGCATCTCTTGCCTGTGCCAGCTGTGGCGCATTTTGAAACAGCTCCAGTCCTCATGGAAGAGGCCGAGGGTCACTGGCACGGATCGACACGTGACGGGTAGATTTAGCATGAAGTTGGGGGCAGCAATGGCCGGAATGAGACAAGATCGCAGTCGATGCGCGAGACGTGGATCGCAGGCCCTGTGCCTGGCCTCCAGCTGCCAACGAGATTTTTTACCCGCTTGGCACAGTTGTAAAGCGTTCAGTGTCTCGAAGACAAGCTCTTATGCAGCCCGGCACCCAAAGTGTGCAAATGCCGGAGAACGCAGGTGAGCTTCGTCCTGTTTCTGGTTGCCCTCAAGAGGCAGAAGCTCTTGCCACAAGAGTGCAAGAGCACAGGATTGACCGACTGCGGGTGTGAGATGGCGTAAGAAACTGTAGCCCTGGAGGGCGCTGGAGAGTAGAGGAGAAAGCGGTTTTGAGTATCAGGAGGATTGCCAAAGCTTTTTTGCTGGGTGGCGCCTTGGGCTCGGCACAGTTATTTTCTCTAAATGTGCCAAGTTCGTCGGAAGCCCAGTCGTACCACACATCTGGGCAACTCTTGCCGTGCGTCTCTGGGCTGGAAAACGACCATGAGCATGTTTCAGTTCCAGATGTTCAAGTGAGGCCATGGTTGCTGGCACAACCTACTTGCCACCAATTCCAGCTGGGCCGCTTGCAGCAGACGCTAAAGGCCATTCCCTGCTTCATGTTCGGTCAGCTGCCCCTGAATGGACTTTTCCTGCCATGACCAACGGTTGTGCTTGAGTTGTTGCTCTTGCTGTTCTGGTAGTTAAGTAGGCACATGTCGATATCCAATCCAGTCATGGTGCCAGTACCAGTGCTCCAGCTTCAACTAGGTGCTAATGCAGTGGATGACCCGCGGGTGGCGCCGGCACCCCCAAAGCCAGAAGGCGTCGTTCCATCTGCAAACATCATTGATCAGTAAGATGAGACATGACATCACGCAGTGTCACGCAGACTTGTTCGACAGGACGTCAGAAGGTAAAGCTGAGCCTCACGCAACCACACGTCCCCCGACCGGAGAGAAAGGACTTCTGTGCTTTGCACATTTGTGAAAATAAGATGAGAGTAGGCATCCTGCAAGAAATTTGAATCGTTGAAGACGGTTCGCATCTCCATGTATGACTGTGGACAAAATGTTTGCTGCATCAGACATATGCTGATAATGCTGAGGTCCTGTCAACAAGCTGGAGCAGCCCCTTGTTCAAGACATCGTGATGGGAAGGCAAGCTTGTCGCTGGCGGGAGCCGAGGTATTGCCAGAATCGTCAACAAGACCGAAGCTAGAAGGAAACGTGAAGCGCAATCCTTGCGTGGCTTGGCAAGAAAGCAGCTCGGCCTTTGTTGCTGCCGACAAGAGTTTGAGTGGTGTTGTGCTGGTGCCGTGATGGAGCCGGTGCTGCTGTTGCTGGCGATGGTGGTTGTGGTTGCGGTGGTTGGGGGTTGATTGTCGCTGTCGTTGTTCGTTGTCGTTGTCGTTGTCGGTGGTCATCGTCGTGGTCGTCGTCGCGGTGGATGTGATCTTCGTGGTCGTCGTCGTCGTCGTCGTCGTCGTCGTCGACGTGGACACGAGGTCACCGCCGGAGGACGTATTACCGCACTCTGGTGCTTGATGGGCTGAGCAATGCATGCGCAGGTGCTAACAAACTCATGGCGAAGCCAGCTTCCCATGCCCGACTTCCGGCAGTAAAGTCGGAGGAGACGGCACCAGTCCGCAAGAGTGTCTTGGCATGTCCTGGCATATCGCAGATGGCACCTCGCTCTTAGTCTTTCTAGTGCTCGTTGCGCAGTCTTACCACTGGATGCCCGGACAAGGGAGACGGGGTTGCAGTCGCACTCGTAATCCCAACCAGTTTCCTGTCGCTTGCAGCAGACATCTCAGAAACTCAAGGAAATCATCAGCATCGCATGCACAAAGCCGCTCCCCACAACGAGGCCGAACAAAGCCTGCTGACCTTCGGGGGTTGACGTACCGCTGCCGTACCAACAACTTCCACCACGCCGGGATGGGGGGTTTGACACCACAAGCGCGCGTGAGTGTGTGAAAGCCTTGTCATCCACTAACGAAGACATTGCCTTTCTGTGGTGATATACGGGAAGGACGATTCCAGGTACCTACAAGACGAGAATTTCTTCTGAAATCTTTACTCGTACATTGCATGGAGAAAATGGTTGCTACTCTTGTGAGATACTCGCGGTGCACGCCCATAGTAAACCGTAAGAACTTGCTGTGGCTTCGCTTCGAAGTGACTTGGTTTCAGTGTGTTTGCAAAGCCTTCGCTCGAAACAGCCTGGCCCTCGGCACCAGATTCGATTTCAGACTGATTTCAGCAACAAAGCAACATGTCACCTGCTTTGTTGCTTCATAGGTTGCGAAAAAACCGTCGACATCCTCTATAACCTGTTCCCCAAACTTTAACCGTGGTGTTCGACACACTTCTCCATGTGTGTGTGTGGGAACGAATGTACATTCATGCGTGTGACCGGCTTGCAACAAGGCAGCAGCACCCCCGTGCTTCCCAAGTTGAAGCTGGATGCAGCAAAAGCGAAAGAGGACCCTGCAGATAAGGAGGCACGCCGCGTGATGCTGCAATGAGTTGGCTTGAAAGCCAATTCCCAGTCGCCAGGCAGCGCGGCCTCCAGAAATCGTTGCAGAAAAAGATAAGGATCCGCAAGGCCCGCGGAGATTTAAGGACATTACCTGTCGGTATCGTCTTGAAAACCATGGCGGTCCGAGGTCTTTCTGACACGAATCTTCCTGATGCAAACCTCCCCGGCTCAGGCTCAGCTCTTACACGATACTCTTATCGGGATCGATTGAAGGAGCTGTGCCGCGCAGTGATTTGACGGTTCCTGCTGAGCAGGGGCCAAGGAGGCGGAATCAGAGGCCTTGCATGGTATGCCATAGCGCTGTGCGCCACGGTGCCACGAGTCGCCACGTGTTGCCATTTTTTCCTCTCCTCAGAAAACTAAGTCAGGAACCAGAAGCTGCCGAGGAACCCGAGCAGCGGCTGTGCTAAGTGAGTGTGTAGGAGATCCACAGGCATGCCGTGTCATGCTGTCTGCATTCCTGGTTCGGCGTTGGAAACCGAATCTACTGAGGCAGATGAACAGTTTTTTCGTGGCACCCTGGAAGCGAAGTTTGTCGAAGAAGGCAGTCTGCCATGGACCTGCCATGCGATGACAAGTGTGGTCAGTCGGGTTCTCTTGAATATTGCTCGCAAGGGAACCAAGACGTTCAAAAGGCAGCAGCCTTATGAAAGCAGCTCTGTTTTGTGGGCGCACGTGAGCAATTTTGTTGGGGCAGCCGGCTGGGTTCACGCACACTTGCTTCTCAGGTCTGAAAGCCACTTGATCTTTGAGCCGCGTGGCGAAGAAGAAGGCTCCCGCATTCATGCGGGTTCCACCTACTCGTTCGGACACCTTGGGCCATCACACCCGAGCACTATGTTGCTTGTCATTGCCCCTGTTTCATCTGGCTGCAGCGGTCCGTGTGCCTTGATTTTGCAACGTGCGCAGAAGCCACTCCGGATGGGGAGACAGAAAAGCAAACGGATGAATCTGCAGCTGGATTATCTGGATTGCTGGAGAAGCTGGACTGGAATGGTCGTGCTTTCTGAAGTCGTTCCCTTCCCCTCATCATTGATCGAGTTCCACTCAGGGAGGGCGAGAAATGCGAGAATCACGAAGATTCATCACCTCATGCAGGCCCGCTTGACCCTTTCTTGCGCAGATTCTGCGTGACTCTGCTGTGTTTCGCGCTCTCTTGCCTGTGCTGATCAGGTGCCAACAGGTCAACCCGCAGCTCAAGGTGCCTTCGCATAGATACGTATAATCCCTATTCAGCATTCTGCAGCTTGTGGATCGTAGATTCTGAGATGACGTGTAGGAGCAGTGTGCCAATTGACCTCAGCAGGTCGATCGAGAGCGAACTCGAGGACACTGGCACGGGCACAAGGTCCGTTAGCAGGCGTTGGTCAAAGGCGAAGCAGGCGGGCTTCGCTACATCTCATTCACGCGTCCGTGCAAGGTCTTCATGCCAGATCCGCCTAGCAAAGATAAGCAAAGAAAGTGTAGTCACTAGTCACTTCAGAAGCAGAGGTCGTATATTAGCTTTGGGCATCAGTAGTGCGCTGCACACAAAACCTGTCTGCTGCCTCTCCGTCAACGAGAGAGCGGCACCATGCGCTGCATGGGGTGGCTCTGACACTAATGTGCCGTGGGCAGCAGAGTTCTGCTACAAAGGGTTGTTGAAAACGTTCAAATTACTAGCCTTGCCAGCTGGTACTCTAGTTCCACCAGCCAGCGTCCCTGGCCACAAGGCCGCACGACTAGCCGCCACTCTTCGACCAGAGAACATGCTTGACACAGTCCAGCAATGGAGACACATGGCAGCAAGGACTTAGCTTACACTTCTTAGTGTGAACATTTGATCACTCTTTAGTGTCCAGGAAAGTGGTGTCGAAAGACGGTGCCCCAGCCTGCACGGAGAACTGTTACCAACGAAGGCTGACCTGGATTCCGAGCCGTAAACCTTCGTACCTTGACTCACATGTCTACGTTTGAATACAGCGATCACACAAGCTTCCTAGGTCACTTGGCAACCTTTCCAGGTTAGCAACGTAAACGAGTTATGTGAACCCTTGTTTCGGGAGTCTCACAGGCATCTTCTAGTCGAGATCTGCTAATCTTGCAAAGTTTGTGTCTGCCCTCCCGGTATCCTGTTACATCCTATTGTTTCGACGGCTGTTTTTGGGCGTGAAGGCGGATGAGAGAGATGAGAGAGATGAGAGACATGAGAGAGATGCCAGTACAGCAGGGGCCGAACACAAAGTGTAGATTCAAAATCGGGGGCACAGCGGGGGAATGACTAAGTGTTCCCTTTACCATGAATAATTGTTGAGCCATGAACACCATGGCACGGGCATGACACACTGGACCTTCGGACGTGCGTGCCCTTCCAACCAGCTCCCGAAGTAAGCGTGTGTGAGAGAGAGAGAGAGAGAGTGAGGGAGAGAGCGTCACACTCAACTCCAACCGCACTTCCTCCAACCGACACAGGGGGTCCCGAATACCGGGGCGGGCGCTGACGCCCGGGAGCTTGCCCCCATGCCCCCAAGAGAGAGAGAGAGAGTTTCGGGTCTCCTCAAGCCCAGCAGAAGAAGGAAGGAAGGAAGCGAATGGTGAAGAAGGATGGAAAGAGGGCTGAGTCTGCGGGGTTGAGCCGAGGATCAGGTGTTCGATGCCAAGCTGCAGACGTCATCCTGGAGGGGGGCTGAAGCGACTGCGACACTCAGTGCGACGGAAAGACATACCAGAAGCAGCATTGGGCCATAGTAAGCTACAGCAAGTTGCGCAGGCGCATTCTGACTTAGCCTGACTCAAGCTTAAGATGTCTAAGGAGATCCATCAGAGACCTGGACGAGGAGCTCTCGGTAGATAAGGATCGTTTACGCCTCATGATCCAACAGGGCGCCGCTGCCCCAGCCGGTCTGATACTGGATTCCAGGCGACCATGATGATTGAGGCAAGCCTTTCAGCAGCCTTTCCTTGTGCAGGTTCACAAGTCCAAGAATGGTTTGAAGCTCACAGCGGCAGCCAAAGTTGTCTTCTGTGAAACTGCTGACTGCGGCCATCGGCACTAACTGCAGCAAGAACTTCGCTGAGGTCAGGCATGTACAACCTGATATCGACAGAGAGACACTCTGGCGCAACCGCCGGGAAACCTTGGAAAAGGTTGACACGCATGGCAAAAGGATTCAGCAGGACTGCGCCCGACCTTGAATGCTACTGACTGGTGGTGTGTGTTGCCAGTATACATGGCACATGCCCGAATGATCCGTCATGTTCCACGCTTGGCGCAGTCAGGCGCTTCAAGATTCCTCGCGGGCGCGGAAAGATCTTCAAAGCTGCGCACCTTGCTCGGATCATGGGGCCCCTGAGCTTCAAGCTGCTTTGCTACTTGTGCTCCTCGCCCTGAGGTTCAGCTGCTGAAGGAGACGATGACGGAAAAGCCCGACAAGATCAAAAAGAAGCCACGTGTGTCCTCCAAGGCTGCGATTGATGTTTCGGTTCTTTGCAATGAGAATTTTTTCTGGAGTGCAAAGCACGACAAGCGAGTCATCGTTGAGGAGCGTAAACAGTCATGGTCGTCCGGCCGCCTCGAGACCATCAAGAAGAAGCTGGACTGCGGATGACTGCGGCAATTGCTCTGCCTTGGAAGTCGGGAAGTGCTCGAATGAACTCGATTTGTCAGGAGGAGTTCATCCGCACAGGCATGGTCAGTGACTGTGACTACGAGGCACAACGGCACCATGCCTGCAGCCCTCAACTATGCGGATGTCAAGCATGAGTGTGTTGAGGAGGAGCAAGATGGAACCACTGATGCACGTGCGCCGCTCGTGACGACCAATGAACTTTAACCTTGATGTTCGGGGCGGCTGTCCAAACTGTTTGGAGGTGTAAAACGGGTGCCGCCCTGATCCCAGCCCGAATCTATGTAACCACCTTTGGTATCTGTCGTCTGGGCTATCCAAACCGTAAAGCCTGAACGCCTTAAAGCTGTTCTGAAAACCACAGGCGGGTGGGTAGATCGAAACTGACAAAGAATGGCGCGTCATAGCGCGTCCAAGTGTTTCACCTTATCGCAGAAGCTCTCTGACCAGAGAACGCTCAGGCACTTTCATTGTGTCTGCCGTCTTCCGGGCGTGGTTTAAATTTATTCCCGTCTGCAGCCTTCACACTGTGAGGACTGCGGAGATTTTGGGCTCTCAAGCCAGAGAGAGCCAAGAGCCAGATCGGAGTTGTGATTTCTGAGTGCGGATGCGGGTCTGGCGGTTGTTTCTCCATACAGTGCATTGACGAGCCATTCGGCAGTCACAGCTTCCGCTCATGGATTATTTAGTCATGTCCACTCCAAAGGAGGGCGAAATCTGGCGACAAAATCGTAGCAACTGCCTGTTTTCTTGTGTCGAGCTGGCCCACGCAGCCTGCGCTGCCGTGCTGGGGGTCGAAGGTGCTCTGCTCGCACTCTGCTTGAAGCAAATCTGAAACATCCCTTCGTGATGTCTACAGTGTTGTAGATGCAGCACTGCATCACAGGTTGTGTACAAGCGTGATGCATGGATCGTTGTTGGCCATTGCAACGTAGCTTCGCATGCCATTACTTCTGAACAAAGGCATACTACACCATCAGTCGCCGCAATGGGCCGAAGTGAATTGGCAAAGTCTTCCATTATCACGCTGGCCCTACTTGCCTGGGGCCCAGTAGAACGGGCAAATCGGAGAAGTGCACTCTCTCTCTCTCTCCCTCTCCGCAGCCCGCAGGCTGAGACTGAGATTTTTCTTTGCAAGCCTCGAACATACTGATTTCCCGAAGCAGTCGTGTCTAGTCAAGGCTGGCCCAACGCACACTGAAACCCTTGTCCTGAAGCTTGAACTGTTTTGGACCAGTTTTGGAGCTTCGCCACCTTCCGACCCATGTGGGCCACTCAGCCGCCTGAAGTGAAGGCTCTGGCATTTGTGGCGGTGGACAAGACAACTGCTTGGTCGCTGGCTGCGCCCTCAGCCACCGATCTGAGGAGGAAACCCGCATATAAGCTTTCCTTCCACATCCAAGAGTAGTGCCGAGTAGCCGATACGCCGTTACGCACAACGAGATCAGGAATCTGCCAAAGCCCGCATTCAAGATGCGCAGCAGGAGGTCTCTAGCGCTACAGAAGACCTCACCAAGGAGCCCTGTTCTGTGCCCTGCTCTGCCATGCTGCGCCCTCCTCTCCCCTGCCCAGTTGCCCAGTCCCCTTCCTCCCTTCCTCGCAGCTTGGCCCGAAGCATTTTTAAGGATATTCTGGAGCGCTTCAGGAGCCACTGACTCCTGAAAGCGCGGCGACCTGGATGAAGGCGGAAAAGTGCGTTCTGGGACTTGTCCTACTTGTCCTTGAGGCCCTTTCGACCTCTTTGGAAATTCCGCCAGGTGGTCGGGTCACAGCTTCTTCGCGGGGCAGCAGTGGTGGCATTGCCGGCGGGGGCCTTTGTCCTCCCATCCACTCATGTAGACTGCAGTCCGACAAGGATTTGCCCCAATTGACGCATTGATGCCCGTTGAACCTCTTGCACGTCATACCTTCCAAGTGCAAGGCCCGAATGTCACTGCAGGCATCTTCAGCACCACCTGGCTTGTCTTGAAAAGAGATGTGGTAAGCCGTAGAGCATTTGCCGGCAATCATTTGCCAGGCCGCCCTTCTGCTTCCTTTGTCGACGGCATTGCTGCGTCATGCCCAAACGGCACCCAACACCACCATCTCGCAAGCGTGCATGGGCCTCAAGAGATGTGGTCCCACGCATTTTTTCGTGAGGAAGTGGGGGGCTGTGGGTCCTTGCTGCCTGGCGCCTTTAGCCCCTCACCTGAGGCCAACTTCTGGAGGCTGTGCCACCTCGCATATTGCAGCGTCATGCAGTGTCTCCAAAACTCAGAGCCCAGCTGGAAGGGGGTTTGCCTCACACCAGAGCTGCGCAGGTCCGCTTTCCATGTCCAGAAATGTTGCTGGTGGATTCTGACAGTGCCTGGTGGCCCAGCTGAGAGCACCACAAGGATTGGTCAGCGCTGTGGTGCGGTTGAGCCTCTCCTGGAAAGGTCGGGCTTCAGACGCTCCCACTGCTGCCTCCAACGCGACTTTGGGGTGTGTTCGTCAGCAGCCGGCACCTTAAATAGGGTAACATGTCTTGGGCTTTGGGCAGCCGGGCATAGGTTAGTGCCCCTGTCCTCCCCCCCCCCCCCCCGCCCCCCTCCAAAAAAAAACAGAAAACAAAGGAGCCTTGGTGGCTAAAGCCAGCCAACCTCAGCTCCTGGCGTTGCTGCTGCGGGAGGCCAAGGGGACTTCGATTTCAGCTTCATGTGCCTTCATGTGGTTCATGTGCCTTCATGCTCCTTCACTTCCACGAAGCCCAGTAGGAAAGACACCTGACATGGATGATAGCACTCGGATGCTATGTCTGAAGGCTTTGTGGCAGCCAAACGTCTGTTAGCGTGGATATTGTGAGATGTTGATGAAACATGTACCAGGCGTCAGTTGCAAGGTGTTCTGGTTTTCTCCTTTTCTGTGCTTCTCCCAGGCTGTCCCGATCCTTTCTTGCTCGAATCTGGGGAGATCTGCAAATAGGTCCGAGGCCCCCAGTGGCTACTAGTAGCTCGCGCTATTCGGACCTCGTCGCACAGCTCTTTGTGCTGGATGGAGATGCGCTATTCCAGCCTAGCTTAACGTGCGAATATGGGGCAGGCTGCATCAGACATCTGCTGTTTCCTGCGCCGGGCCCATGATACACAACAGCGAGTTGAGATGCGGTCCTTGGCAGCTCAGCCTGTCCCCTCAGCACCAGTGGCCACGGCGTACGTGGCTGCTCCACAGCCAGCTCAAGGATATGTGGCGTGCGCGGTCCCGCACCAGACTGTCCACGGAGTGGCGCAGGCGACGGCCGTCCCAACGGCAACAGCTACAACGGCGCCAGTGGCTATTGCACACACAGCCGCAGGATATGCGGACCAAGCTACCCCTGCAGTCGCGTATGCCACGCCAGTGACCACGGCGCACGTGGCTACGGCGTTGCCAGTTACTAGAGCTGCACAAGCTACACCGGTTCCGGCGTTTGGAGCCAGTCAAAACGCCCCATTTGTGGGTGAGACGGCCATCCCAGGCGAGTCCGGAATGCCGCAAACTGCATCTCAGGCACGAGTTGAGCTGCCGGGCAAGCGGAAGAGCTTGCTAGTTGGAATTAACTACTACGGAACGGATGCAGAACTCTCAGGGTGTGTTGCAGATGTGAGGAGGATGATGCCATTTTTGGAGGGGTTTGGCTTTCCCTCCAGCGAGCAATGCCAGATGGTATTGCTGGATTCACCTGGCTGGCCTCGCCACCGGCGGCCGACATTGGCAAACATGCGGAATGCGATCAGATGGCTGACCCAGGATGTCCAGACAGGATTCCCCATTGCCTGCTTCAGACAAGCAGGGCATGACAGGGGTTGCATATTTGATCATATTACTGGGATCGAAATATGGCTTGGGCACTCGGATTGCGCCAATGCCTTTGTTGTGAATATTGATGTCGTATGACTATGTTCCTCTCCGATCTATCCGTGTAAGGCAGAGAGTTCCGCCCCAACAGTTGAAGGAGCTGACGCTGGTGTGAGATAGATGGATAGCCTGAGGTCAACGTTGGTCGCTGTGCAGCACTTTTGCGTCACAGTGGTGCTCGAACCGGCAGCAGACGGTTTGAAGCAGCATGATCTGTAGCTCTCTGAAGCAACGCAACCCAACCACCACAACCACCACAACCACCACAACCACCACAACCACGCCACCACACCAATCACACCACATCAACCACGCCAACCGCCCCAACCACGCCACACCAAGCCACAGCAACAAGAGCAACAAGAGCAGCAAGAACAATGGAAGCCAGGAATCTGCAAGCGTGCACCCAAGCCTTCAAAACGGCCCCAACGCTCCGCCCAAAACAATTTAGCACAAGCTAAAACTTCAATCAACTTTGTAAGCCAAAGATTGGACACTGGAAGGTGTGAAACAATCGCACAACCCCGAAGAAAACGTCAGAGCAAATGCACACATCAAATGGGATAAGAATAAACGGTAGAAAATGCTCGAACATGAATAAATTCACGTAAACTTTACACCAGATAGAGCTGAACTCGTGAAGGTCTCAAAATGAGCCAAGCACACAAAACACCGAAGTACGCATAGGATCATGCCAAGATATTCTTTCGATTCACCGTACCTAGGAAGTCACGATTTTTCGTGAGACGTCCTTCGTGCAAGAGGGCGTCGCCACTTGCGGGCAGGTTCAAGTCATTCTGCAAATGGCTTGCGTGCTTATAAACAGATGTCAGAGGGCAGTTGAGACCGTTCAGGGAAAGCCAGTTCGGCCTGACACCACAGGCAGGGGGATTTGTGGTAAATCGGGGCAACTGCAAGTACTGTGAGAGAGCGGTAAAGAGCAACTGCAGCAATGAACTTGGGAACAGGCCGAGCAGGACAGGAGCCCGAAATGACCCGGTTGTTCAGTTTTGGCAGCTGTGGGCACTTTTTTGAAAGTAAGACCTGAAACCAAGAACCCAACACTCACTCACTCTTCAAGTGTTCCCAGACTTTTGCAACCATTTTCAAGGGCGGGAACAGCGCCGAGTAAACCGTAGGTTGAGGTGTTTCCGGACGAAAAACAATCGGACAACTCCCCAAAGTGTGTGCCTTCATGTGCGCGTGATAGGAGCGCGAAAGACCGCGGTTGGGCTGTTTTCAGGAGCAAGAAAATGGGAGAGTCGTCTTTTGGGCATGGATCGCGCGCGGCCCTCAGATCATGCAGCAGAAATGAGGACCAAAATGTTAGCTTCAAGCAGCAAAGCCAAGCAAAGCAATCGCCAACCAACAACATAACATCAGCAGCTGTAGTTTGCATCGGGATTGGCTTAGGGGGTGTGATGATGTCCACTTTGTCTCATCCCTAGCCAAAGCCCAGAACTCCAGACTTGGCGTTCGGGCATGGATGATGGGATTTTCGGAAATGGAGAATCCCCCCACCACCCTCCACCCCCCCCACCCCCCCCACCCCCCCCCCCCACCCCCCCCACCCCCCCACACCCCCCCCACCCCCCCCCCACCCCACCCCCCCCCCCCCACCCACCCCCCCACCCCCCCCACCCCCCCCCTCCCCCCCCCACCCCCCCCACCCCCCCACCCCCCCACCCCCCCACCCCCCCCCCCCCCCAACCCCCCACACCCCCCACACCACCCCCCACCGTCGGGGGTGGGGGTGATGGTCTCACCCCACCCCCCCCCCCCCCCCCCCCCACCCCACCCCATGCTCGGGCATGGAGGATGGGACCCAGAAGAAAGTTAACTGTAGACCCAAACAGTGCAAAACACAATTTGCTTCGACAAAGCCGCGAAACACTGCAAGTAACCATGCAGGCCAAGGGTTCGTCGCCCTGATGCGACTTGCCTTCCTCGGCAGGCATCGAGGGATCCGCTTGGCTACAACAAGCACCACCGCCGCCACCACAACCGCAATCACAACCACAAATATGAGAACACGAGCATTGACAAGGACAGCGACGACGGTGGCAGAAGAAGCAGCAGCAGCAGCGGCAGCAGCGACAGCGGCGGCGGCGGCAGCGGCAGCGGCACGGGCAGTAGCTGAAGGCTTCACAAACACAGGGCTGAAAGCTTCACAAGCAACACGGTCAGGAGACGCGCTGTTCTTCCACTACTCGGGGCACGGAGGGCGCGAACCGTCAGCTAGCGGAGCAGATGGATACGTGGAGACCCTCTGCCCGGAGGAGCGCGCCCGTCTTGGATGCGGTGTCAGCCACGTCATGCTACATCCAATTGACTACTTCTGGCAGCTGATCTCAAGGCAAGAATGTCGCACCTCATGTGGGTCCAGCGTGTGAGGATTACGATGATGAGGGCATGCTTCTGGACACCGAGCTCTTCGAGACGCTCGTGAGGCCCCTGCCAAGCGGCTGTCGTCTCACATGCCTCATGGACTGTTGCCACAGTGGTGGCGTACCGAGAGCTGCACTTTGACCAGTAGACACCAGTAGCTTATAGTAGGTCAGTAGGTTTGTATCCTCATAATCCATGCTCTCTGCAGACGCCGAGGTACTGAACTTGCCGTACCTCTTTACGGGCACTGAGGCCAACCTGAAGCAAGCATTGGCGGGCAAAGCCGTGTCTCTGGCCCTCTCCAAGGACTGGCTGCGGGACATGCAGTCCTTTCGTCAAGGAAACCCGCTGGAACTGCTGGAAGATGCAACGACCATGGGGCTCGAGCTGTGGGGTCTCTACAAGCAACACCAAGCCTCAAAGGCCTCGAATGAGTTTGGGTTCGCCACCGACGAGGCCGGCAACGTCGGGATGTCTGTTGGCGAGGTGGTGGCCATCACTGGCTGTCGTTCTGACCAGACCAGTGCGGATGTGGGCAATGTCCAGGCGCAATTTCATGTTCAGCAGTCCCGGCGGGGGTCAGTGCTGATCGGACGCCGGCGGTCGTCTATCGGTGCTGCTGGGGGTGCACTGACCTCTGTCTTTATAGAGTCGCTACAGGACCCGCATAGCCTATATAAGCCCATGTAGTCTCACCAGCCTCCCTTGTAGACATCTCGCACTTCATGCACGCTTTGGCCATCCCGTCCCTCACTGCCAGGACCCATCAGCTGCTTCCTTCACCTACTTGACTTTGCTCGAGAGGAGCCCTCGACTGCCACATAGTCTGCAGCTGAAGATAGACTGCTGGTCTGGTTTCAGAATTTCACACTCAACAGATTGCGGGTGGTTTGTGGGTGTCCCCTGCCCGGCTCTTCCAAGTTGAACCGTTTGTGGGCGGAGTGTTGGCGAAGGGGCTTGTCTTTAAGTCTCCCCCTCCAGCTTCCCTGGCAGGATCCGCGCTCGCCTGGAGAACGAAGACTTTGATCAGGTACCACAGCTTGCAACGTCTCTCCTCATCGAGCTACAGTACCTTGACTGCTTTCTAGGGGCCTTGGCTTGGTGATTGGTGACCTTGGCCGAAGTTCACCGAAGAGCCTGAGGCAGCCGTTCTCCTTGACCACGATTTCCGTACCTGCCCAGCCCAGTGTTCGGGGTGAGCCAGCTGGAGCCGGCATGGATGGAGGCGGAGGTGCTCCCTTCTGAAAAAAATGCGCTTGCTTAAAGTTGAGCCATGAACCTGTGACTTAGTCGCTTGCCATTTCAACGTGTGATGTTGGAAGGATCTGCGCTGCTGACGAACTTCCTCGGTTCCATGGCAGCCGCACCTCAGGGAGCTGCAATGCTGCTTGGCGCCGGTGCCCATGGTGCCCATGATGCCCGAGGCGTGGCCAGCAACACTTTTGAAACTGTACATCGTCCCGAAATGTTACCCTGCAGTGCGGCTGGACTGCTTGGCGGGTGGCAAAAAAATGTGTCAACCTTGTTCAGACTCGGACTGGAGATGCCCTGGCCAGGTGCCGGCGACGCTGGCGACGGGGCTGGAGGTCTGAGCGCGATGGGTGCAGTGGCGGAAGGTTTCGGAGCAGCACAGCTTCTCATGGCTGTGGGGAACGCAGGCCCTGAAGCCGGTTGAGCCCGGATCCGTTGCACATAGCGTAGGCGTGGAAGAGAATAGGTTTCTGCAAAACCATGTTTGGAGGGCTTAGCCACCGCGACTCCATAGAGACGGACGGAGCAAGCTCAAGCTCAAGTGCGAGCGGGCCTGAGGAGGCTCGCTGCCTGTGCATTTCTCGTATCTGATCATGCACTACGATGCATACAAATACAGAATGACCTGCCCAGCACATGATTGTATCTGGGCAAAGGCAGAATCAGAGCGAAGCGATGAGATGGAGGAAGACGAAGAGGAGGAAGAAGAGGTGCAATTCGGCAGCCTCAACACAACGGTAGGGATTCTGCGTTAACAAGAAGAGATCTCCAGCACTGCGCACGGTGAGACAGCAACAGCACATGCAATCTGTGACGAGGGCCGACTGGCTTCGGACCTGGAGGATGTTGCTGACGCAGTGCTGGATGCCTTGATTGATTGAGCACAGCTGACACAGGGTTGAACGCGCATGCGACCTGCTAGTTGCAGGGCCCCCCTGGCCAACCCTTGCGTAAAGAACCGTTGCGCGGCCAAAGCATAGCCGCCGAACTTGCAGCCCCATCGAGTGCAAGATGCACAGCGATGCGGGCGGCTTGCACTGTAGTGCTCCTCTGAGTCCGGGCCGCCTTTGGCATGTGGCCAGTGCCTCACTGGGCATTCGTTTACGTCTTGCAGCTTCTTATAAGTGCATGGCGCCTCAGGGTACTGCCAGCTTCGAAGTTGGCATCCAGTAGCTTGTCAACTGGGGCAGGTGGCACTTCTTCAGATGCGGGTCCCACCTCTCCCGCAACTTTGGGCGGTTCTCGCGGCGATCAAGGGCAAGGCCAAGACGAGGAGGCAGCTTCTGTACCTTGTTCATCGCATCTCATAGCAAGCTTCGGCGCCCATCCTCCGAAAATCACGTTCCTTCGCACAAAGAACCAGGGGAGTCTGGCGAAAGCCGCTGAGCTGCTAGCTGCTAGTTGCGACCACGCAGGGCTCCGACACATTCCAAGACGCACAGAACCTTCAGCCAGCTCCAGAGAGCTCGAATCCAGGTCGGCCCCTCGGGGCTCCTGAGTAGCTTCCGGATGATGCATCCTGTGGCTTTGCTATGTCTTTGCTATGTTTCGCCCATTCTCGCCCTGCGAACAAACAAAGGAGCTTTGCCGAGTCCACCGTGGGCTGAGCGAAGTTCAAGCACGGCAGCCGCCTCGGGGTCTGCCATGGTCTGCTACAGCGCCGAGGAATTCCTTCACATGTGCTCACAAGACGTCGCAGCTGTGCTTGCAGCTTGAAACAGCTCAGAGCCACCTTCCCAGGCATGACCAGCTGCCGTTGCCTCTCCAGGCTCCTGTGACAGAAGCTGCCAGACACCTGCTCCTGCCAGGAGCACTTTGGCTGTCCAAAGTTAACTCTGTGTGTACATCATGTCATCGCTTGAGCTCTGCCCAACTCCCGTAGTACAAGTAGCATGCTACATTCCCCCGAGAAGCTGTGCTCCCTGCAGAGCACACCCTGCAGCTTGTGCACTTCCGTTCTCTTCTGCTAGATACGCCATCAGGTCGTATTGGCAGCACAGGACCGCATATTCACTCTCTTCCACGTAAGCACGCTGGCGCGCCGGCCGTGTGCTATCTTCAAGCCTGAAAGGGGTTTCTCTTGTGGCTGTTTGCGGATGCAGGGGTGGGAGGCGCTTCATATTTGTTGTTCGTCCGTTTGTCCTCGTGCGCCCGCAGAAGCATGAGCAGGCCGAAGACTCGTCGGAAGCGTTGTTTCTCTGTCGGCTGAATGTCTTGTGGCGGGGGGGGTGGGCAGGGAGGACCGGATGGGCTCTGAAAGCGTAGCATGGCATGGCATGGTAGAATCTCAGAAGGAAGCTCGAGACTGCGCAGACAGCGCAACACACAGCTAAAGATCAGATGTCACTAGGGGTCGTGGCTCACCAAGGTCCTCGGTGACTGTGTGAATGTGGTGGGCACTTATGCAGATCGTGGCGTCGTGGCCGCCGTGCAGGAGGCCTCCACCATCCTGCACTTGATTGCGTCCAAGTCATGAATTATGAGCCATATGAGCCGTAGTGTACGGCACGGGGTCGAGCTTTGATGGTGTCATGGTGCTGTAGCTGGCACTTGCGTGGCCAGTCAGACATTTTTTTGCCAATGTCCGTCTTTCAGGCAGGCAGTGATGTTGCAGACTACATCGAAGATTTCCAGCTTCTCCGCCTCGTGCGCATCGCCAGACTAAACGTGGACCCCGGCTCGGAAACTTGTGGGGGACGTATCGTGTGGAGTTGGAAATTGAAAAAAAGCTTGGAGCCGGGAATCTACAGTATGCGAGGACGTCTTTGGCAAGCCGAAGAGGAAGCCTTTGACAAAGACAATACACGAGACGCGTGTCTTCCTCGGAGTTGGAAGGTTGAACCCTCAAGTGGACCTAGTGGACCTTGGTCGTTTCGACCCGAGCCAGGTGTCAACCTGCAGCGCGTGTACTCCATCGGCCCAAAGCGAGTCGAGGCATCCATGGTTTGCGAACTGACATGCTTCACAGATAAGAGCTCCCAAATGTAAACGTTATCTACGGTATACTCTCTGAAAGGAATTCAGGCGCCAAGCATCTCAGGAGCAGCTCCGCTCATTTCCAGGTATTTTCAGATTGGACTGTAGAATGGGGCAAGGGTACCAGATGCGCATGTATGCGCTAATGCAAGGTTAGCTGAGTGCTTTCCGGCAGAAAGGAGTAGTCAACCTGGTCAACAGCAGCGCGCATGCAGTTCCCTTTCTTCATGCATGACTTGTGACCATCCTTCGCAGAATTTGTGCAGAACATGTCGAAGTTGGAGTCGATTCTGCTACACAGCTTGCCTCAAGCGTCAGAAAGGGTCATTTGCGCGTCTTGCGGTCTCTCCAGGTTTCCGTTGACGAGCCAATGATGCCTTCATTGACTGACCCTGTATTTTCTTGTACCCCATGACAGGAAGGGTGGGCTTGAGGAAAGTTCACATACTCCGACTTAGAATTTGCGACGTGCTTTGACCCCCGCTTTTTTTTCCCGACATAGCATACTACATTTGCTGTGCACTGTGCACCACATGAAGGACGGGCAGCAACAAAAGAAAGCTTGTGGGAATGTTCCTTGCTCTTCAATTCTCTCTCCTTGGCACAGGGCCTCCTGAAAGCCGCATCGAAAGTTCGCCATCCAACTCGTGTCCTCCGACAGAGGCGAAGGCCTGGCTGTGCACCTGCATAGAGCTGGCTGCTTCTATGTCTCTACTACGTTCTCACCAGTAAAACATAGTAAGACACCATGCCCGATGTGTACTGCAGTAAGTTGCTACTTGCTGTTCGTAGGTCGTAGGAAGATTTTGTACTCCTGTTGTTGTCTTCCGCGGAAGGCCAAAGTTGCCTTTCTTCGAAATTTGGGCACGGAGCCGAGATCGGACGCAAGCTGAACCCAGTCTGGAGATTCTGTCCGTTTCCCTCAGACCGCCTGCACGGCCATGAATCGAGCAGCGACGTTGCTCGCGGACCATCAAGCAGCGAAGGCGCACCGAGCACGAGCTTGCTTGTAGCCAGCTGCCTCTCACACTGCTGCCAGGCAGAGTCGAGGCTGCATAAACTAGAGGAGCTGCCTGGCAATGGGTTTCCCGATGCTTCCCGCAGCCACGACTCTGCCCAAGGTAGGTCTTTTCCTAGAGTCAGTCAGCCGACCTGGCCAGCACGCTCGTGCCAAGTCCGCCAGAGTGTCCAGACATGGGTCTGTGCCAGTGCAATGTCACTGGACACGGCACGGATTCCGAGATGTTTGCTACTCGCTGATATGATGAGCGAAGGGGTCAATGGCTTCGGAGTCATGGAATCCTGTAGAATGCCAATAACTGGCGGTCGAGAAAGGTTGTTTGGGGTCACGGGCTTGGCTGTAGGCTTGTCAGGTTCCCGCAAGACAGGCTCTCTAGGGTTTCGAATGTCGTGTCGGTGCGAGACCGTCTGCTGACATCGCAGAGGTCCTCAAGCCTTGGAAGGTTGGAGGGCTGGACCCCTATAAATTCGACATTGCAATGCCCACCCCTAAATGTGGGCAAGGCATGGGCCCTTTGTAGAAGAAAATCAAGTTTGGATTCTCCTGTTGTGCTCAGGTGACGGCTGAGGAATTCGCAGAGAAGCTGGACAGGCAAGCGTCCAAGTCCAAAGCAAAGACCGGAGAGGTCATGATCAATGTGGATGTGATCGAAACCATCCTTTTGGAACCTTCGGCTTAGCAAACCTTTTAGTAGCTTTTTTGGCTGCCTTCTCTGCCTTTATGTTTCGGCTGCCCGTTGGGGACTGGCTCTTTATTCTCAGACACCGTGGCGTCTGAGGAGGATTCAAGTGCGTCGCAAGGAGACAAGTACATCAAGCCAGATGATGTGGAGATCCTCGTCTGCACGTTTCCAGGATACAGCAACATTTCTCAACCGCTCTTTCCGAGATCCCTGCACTCTCCAACTACAAGTGGTGTCGTGTGGTCACTCACCGGTGGGATCTTCATGCCTGCCGAACCTAGGAAAGCCTTCGTTCGGGTGAACTCGAACAATGAGGAGCCCCGCCACAGCAAGGTGAGGAAGGGCACAGGATTCATCACCAAGGCCAAGCTGAGTGCGAGTCACCCGAGTCACCCGAGTGGCATCCGCAGCCTTCTCACAAAGGGTCTGTGGCTGCCAGCACTCCGTCAAATCCTGTATGTGCAGGCCATGATGATGGATATTCTTTCGAAGGTAGATGACGAGGCGCCAGAGAGAGAGAGGGAGAGAGAGAAGTCGTGGCCCCGGTGGGGGGGCCTCTTCGCTGGGAAGAAGAAGAAGAGCAGAAGAAGAAGAAAGGACACTTGCATGCTTAAACGGCTTAAACAGGGTCACGCACCGACCTGGAAGTCGGGTCCCACAAGCCCCCCCGGTAGAAGAGGCACAGTACCACCTCCTGATGTGACAGAAGCCGCTTCCCATATGAAAAGCGTGGGGCAACAACCATCTCATCCACTGCAGCCCGAAGAGCCATTCGAAACATGAATCGGTGAAGTGTATAAGCGTCACAGAACAAAAAGCCTTATAAGAAAGCCCACACATGTCATGTCGGGCGCAGGAGGACGAAGAAGAAGTGCAGACTACTGCAGAGGCAGTTTCAGGGACCGGACCACCTCGGCGAAATTCTCGATGCAAGGAGAGCCGGGGAGTTCAGATCAAACCAGGTTCGGCATGATTCGGCGATCATGGACTAGATGAAGCCACATGTTCTTTTACAAAAGGACAGGCAACAGGCATCGAATCGTAACGGTTCTCTATTTTAAGACCAGCTTGCATTGCAGGATCGCAAGGGCACAGGGTATGTCAGCAAGGACAAGCTCCAAAAGCACCTCGGCTCAGCAAACGCCTCGCATGGATGCCAGGTCGCCTTCCTGGCCACAAGCTTTATAGTGTCCACACAGACTTCTACTCATATGAACTCTCCGAGCCGGGCGTGTGGGTGCTGCCCCTTTCAAGGATTCTCGCGGCCGCGGGTGAGGAGGAATGAGGGAAAGCTCTCGCCTTTTCACCAACTCACGGTCTGGTGTGAGCCTCGTGCTCGTGCTGCAAGTTCAAGTTCAGGTTGACATAATACGTAGCATACCGAGCCGTGGCTGACATCGGGAGATAAGGTTTTGCACGATGTGTGCAATGTTTTAGCATGTGGGGGCAAATGCCAAGATATGCGAAAGCAATACATTCGCATTTCCCCGCCAGTTGCACCAACGGGCCAGGCATCAATTAGTCGCCTGATCCGAATACTAAGAACTGCTGCGAGGCCAGCCTTCTACTAATGTTTTTAATGTTTTGCACTGAATAGGAAGCATTTCGAGTGTGGCCTCGGGCGGTCCAAATTCTTTCAGGACAAGCTGCCGCACGTAGACGATCTACTACTCCCAGTGGGTGCTGCTGAAAGCTCCCTGGGAGATTGTCTGCGGAGGATCGATGTAGAATCTATCTTCGATCGAAGCTTTAGGTTTCACGGCATAGCTTCCGATAGAACTGGAGCAAACTGCACTCGAAAGGCTGCACTGGCAGGCTGAACTGCTTTGCTGTTGCTTCTTTGACACGCGCACCGGCCCCCTGAATGCTAATCGCTGGCGGACAAGAACCTGAAATTCAGTACAGGCATACTTGAATCGAACGATTGGTATTTGTTGGGAGATTGCCAGGCAATGGGAAGCATCGACCACGTCGTGCTGCCGCCATGAGTTCTTTTGACAGCTTCTGAGGAGTGCTGGACTTCCAGGTTCTTTTCGGACTCAAAGGTCCAATCGCGACATTGGCAATCGAACTTGCGGTGTTAGTTGGCCCGCCCAGGGTTGTGACCTCGGAGTTCCTGAAGGGATAACTCTGGCCGACAGACCTTTCACAATTCTTTGCCGGGTTGCTCTCGCCAAAATGTGTCGACGACGCCATTTAGCGGCCGTCGGTTGCGAGGCACAAGCGTGGTCGTCCCTTCAATATGTTGCCGCCACCGTTTCGCGATCCTATTCGCAAATGCTGGTATTCCGTCCACAGAATTCAAAGGCAACTGCTTCAACTGCTGCGCCTTGAATTGCAGTTCTTTCTGCACTGCAAGCTTGGCGGGAAAGAAGCCATAAAGATGTGGGCTTGTTCTGCAACGGAGCTTGGGGGAGCCTCCTAAAGCAGGCACGAACGAACGACCATCCGCACGCATGAGACCTGCTTGCACGCAAGGCCGCCCTTGTACCTGAGTCCTAGGTGGCCGCGTAGCGGGGGATTGCTGAAATCCCTGGCAGCCCGCGCTGTTTCAGCTTCGATCAGACGCCGAACCTTCGCATAAAGGACAGAAGGACATGCCATGATGCCCATAGCATGCTCTTGCGCCTGAGGACACAAGCAGCCTTCAGATCGCTTCTCTTGGTATGTTTGTTGGTGGCATCCGGTCTCTTGGCAGGCTGGCGGCCTCGTCTTGCTGCACGGTACTTCTGTCCTGCTTTCTGTGTATGGGTTAGCCAGATGCGAGAATGCACGAAAGGGGTGTAAGGTGTAGTGCGACGGCTACCTAAAGCTACCTGGCTGCCAGCAGCACCAGCGCCTGTGCTTCTGAAATGGTGGGTTCCAGGAACTCCCCTGGAACAACGCCGCTTGCGCAGGGGTGACATTCGAGGTTTGCTTGAGGCGAGGCTCGAGACTGTATGTTTGTCCATGGTTTTCGGCTTGGGTTCATCGCAAGGATGCACAGTCGGATCTGCCTGTGCGACGGCGCTGGCCTCACTGGACGATGCCTCAGTGAAGGGAAGTTCGGTACCGGTCTTGAATTCCAACATGTTGCAACAGTCAGCTCTGTCAGCACGTGCGCGGGTTTCTGCAGTTCTTGTAGAACACCACTCAGGCCATATTTGGTAAAAGATAGTTGTCAGTGAAGTGACTAATTTTTTCACAATCTTGGAGTACATCGAGGTTGGGGGCCTTCATCAAGGCCGGGCGGGCGAAAACACTTGGGCTTTCAATCTGAGGGTAGCTCCAGGCTGTCTGTGATCTTGGCACCCAAAGTTTTGGTACGATTTGACTATTTCGTTCAGGCAGGCCTGCAGCCGGCTTCCAGCTCAGCCGTGCGCTGCAAGTGTTTGCTTGATTGTTCTGAGAAGCGGCATGCATCGCGAAGAATTCGCGAACACCTTCTGACAACCGGAAACGAACAGACCTCCTTCTTGTGATTCTGATATGGTAAACATTGGCAGCAGTGCCGCATCGTGTCAAAGATGCAAGAATATGGCAAGCAGGCGCCTGCATGGAAACATCTGAGGTCCTACAACTCCGACTGGCCGAGCTTGCAGACTGGGAAAGCAAGGCTTGCTGCTTTCTCTTTTGCTTTGCCGGCCCTTGGTTGTTTGGTTGAGTTGCAAGCGTTGCCCATCTGTAGCGAACAAAGTCAGAACAGCAGTTGGGAACTTCAACTCCCCAACGTGGGATCATACCTAAATTTGATCCTCCTGGAGGCAGAGAGAAATCACAATGCCTGGCATGGCCATTTGCCCCATGGGTCCCCTAGGCGCACTCGATAGATGTCCTTGGGATGGGTGATGCTGTTTTGCAGGACGGACCGGCTCACCACCAAGCGTCTTGGCAAGAATTGAAAGACGTCGAACTTGGAAACGGAAGCGAACCGAAGCAGTCGTCATCTGCAAAGCTCGCGGTTGAGGAGACTACATGGGGCAGATGGAAGTCGTGGGCGCGATCCAAAGGATGGATCTGAGAGCGCAGCCCGTTTGTGAAAGAAGGGCCACGGGTGCAGAGCTTGGGGTAAGAAGAGGTATAGTATGCCCAGACTGTTTCACATGAGGAAGGTGAGAATTGAATCGGCTTCGGGTTTCCTGATGGTGGAGTTGCTCAACATGCAGCTCAGCCAGCTGCTACAGAAGCCTGGCCCCGGTTGAGGTGGCTGGCTGGACTTACGTGGGGGTTCAAGGATGTGTAATTATCCCAGATTCAGGCAACTCCCAACAAACTGCTTGCGACAAGTACAGGATCCCAACTTATATCAACTTATGCTTCACCCCTTCCGTTTCGGCGATCGGCAAGCATCGTCTCCCAGCAAGTGCATCAACAGGGGTCAACTAGGGCGCAGGGCTTTGATCATGACTTCCGCCACTGGAGTCCAGCCAGCGGTGCTTTGGGGAATCGAGTTCCCGAGCGCTTTGATTAAGACGTCGACTCTGCGCAGTATCAATTATGGTTGCTTCCTGTTGGATACCGCTCTCTCCCCTCCTTCTCACGGACTCAATACCGGCAAGTTGATTTTGGATCCCCAGATCACTTTAAACTGTCTGACAAGCCAAGACGCTTTACTACAGTAGAGCCGACCCTTCAAAATCCAAAAGAAAGCAACATTGACGTTTCTAGCTGCACCGCAGAGCGTGACACCACTGCGGCATGTGGGGACACCAGTCCAGCATGCAAAAAAAGGAACTAGCAAATGGCATGCTTGTTTTGTTTTGGGCTGTGAACTTTGCCGATCCTTTGCTCTGAATGAAGAGCGAGACCCGGAGGACCGAGGGATACGTTCCCAGTACCTTGGGGCCTAGGAACAGGGGCGGAGCTGAGATGCAGCCCCCTCGTCCCTGAGGCCAGGGCAGCTTTCATGCCTTGAGGCTACTGACGCTTGCTCTTGTGTTGCGCGGGTTTCGGAGGCAGCTGGCGCATGTCTGTGCAGCTGCTGAAGGGCGAGTTCAAAGATCCATGCCGGGCTTTTGACTTTTCAAACCTGGGAGATGCACCCTGCTTGCAGACAGATGCATGCTCTTGCAGTGTCACGCCTGATATGGGATGCAGTGATACGTCTGGGTGGATTGAGTGATTCTCGGACTGTGCCTATACTCTGTGGAGGCGGAGCTGAAGAAGGGCGACACGGGAGGCCCGGACCTCGCATGCTGTGTGCGACGGAAGTGCTCTAGCTTGTCAGAAAGCTGGAAATGAGCCCGGCTTTTGACAAGCAGGTGCCGTAGCCGCCTTGGATAAAGCTATCGAGGCCGATATGCTACATTGCCATGCCCATGGGCACAATGAGCTTGTAGGAGCCATCGCCAATTCGCGAACACCTCCTTGAGGTTTAGGAGGGCTTAATCGAAGCTCACTGGTAGTGCGACCGTGAGCTGACATGCAGACAGAGTGCGGAGTGCGAAGGTGGAATCCCGCTGGCCCACGATTTGGCTCCACCGTTCTCAGGCGAAGCTTCAGCACGGTGACTTCGAGGCTCGGACTGCGATGCGGCGATGTGTCCAACGGTTTCGATGTTTCCATCCGTTTCCATCCTTCATGGCCTCAGCTTGTGAGCTTCCAGGGTGCCATCGCGGATGCCACCGCAACCCTGGAGCCGGGTCGACAGAGGGACACATCACACTGAATATCACTGAATCATCCGACTGAGCCCTTCTTGTGTGCACAGCAACGGCGGTACCGCGGCCATCAAAAGTTGAACATGTGTACCTGTTCAGAAGTCAAGCCTTGGCCTCCCCGAGGCTGGATGGGCGCATCACCCTCGCATACGCGACGCGCGGAGCGCTTCTCAGCTTCTGGTGCAGACGAGTTGCACACGGAGTTGCACTCAAGAGTCCGGCGCATCACTTTGTTTGTCTTTGTTTCAGTTGGGGCGTGAAATGCCAGGAGAGGCCCGGCTTCAGGCAGGCGATGTGCTGAACGCAGCAACTTGGCAGAGCAGCTATGGGTTGGAAACCGAGAGCCGCCTTGAAGTGGTGGCTTGAGCCGAGGCCGCTGACTTTGATGCCTTCCTTGCGCAAGAGCCAAAGCATGCGCTCAGCCTACGATCTTGGTACCGGTTTCTGAATTTAACAGTGTTTAACAGTTTGAGTTTGAGTTGATGTTGTTCGCATCTGCCCATCTGCCTAGGCGAGGGTTCTGTGGCGAAGGAGCAGGGCCCGCTTGGCCACTTGGCCACTTAACAAGTGTTGTGACATCTTGTGACTCGGCAGTCCGAAAATTCTCAGTAAGTATCAGGAACTGCAGATTGATGGGGCAAGAAGCGGTCAAAGCGGTTAGGGTGCCTCCCCGTGTAACTTGAGGAACTTGGTCGGCTTCGTGAGGCACTGGCCGACAGCCAGGCTGTTAGCCACCGTAGTTTGATTCTGCTAGAAGCTGCTGTAATTCACCTACCACTGAACCTTTTTGTCAGCGTGCCCTGCAAAGAGGCTGCCCTAGAGGTGGCTGGCAGGGAGTTGACCACAACAGAGGAGGCGGATTGCCACCTGGCCTGGGCCCCAGCACTAGGATGTTGGGTTGGAAAGCTTCTGATGAGCACTGCAAGCCGACACTGCGAAACATGCTTGTGATGGCACTCTTTCCTGCTGCCCAGCACCAAGTAGGACACCAGACCTTGAGATGAGGTGACCGCTCTGGGCCGAGTGCGTGCTGCACCCGGAACCCCGGTTTTCGACGTTGTGGGGTTTTTGAGATTTTAAGGACAACTATGCCCAAAGCACCCGTAAACAATAATCACGTTCAGGTAGATAGGAGGGCATGGGTGGAGAGGACAGGAACGAGGACAGATATGAGCAGGACAGAGATAGAAATAGCAGGAAGGGAGACAGGAAAGGCAAGAGGACTGATACGAGGAGACCTAGCAGACCCAGCAGGACAGGAAACAGGACAGATAGGAGGCTGTGGCGGCCAGCAGGCCGCTCACCCCAGGTGATTGCACCGCACAACAGCGGCCGTATGGTAAGTTTTCAAAAGCAGTGCTTGTTTTTTAAGCTTCTATAACAACTTGATCGTAGAAATATTCAACATACCCTTTGGGCGCACCCCTTAAAGCATTAAGGGGTATGGCAAAATCCTCCCTTATGTTCTCTGAGTCGGTCAATGAAGGGGTATGGGTTTGGGGTACGTTGAATGTTCTGAAGACTTTATGTCTTCGATATGAGGTGGCCCCCAAGCATAGCTCCTTAAACACCAACGTGGCGCTAGTGTGGCGCTAGCTTAAGAAGTGTAGGTATGCTTGAAAAGAATTGAAGCATGCAGACATTTGACCCGAAATTGATATTGTACAATCTGCCATGGACACTCATCTCTGGGAAAAGCCATGCTCAAGAAAGATGGCTGCCCAGATAACTTTTGACTTTTGTTGTTGCTCGTGGCCATTTAGCGGCAGGCCTCTTCAGGATCATAAGCCAAGCACAACATCAAGGAATAACCACAGTTTGTGACGTTGTTGACGTTTCTTCCGTTCAGGTTCCCGCCTTTGTGCTATTGCGGCCGTTGGTCCGAAGTACGCGCAGCTGTCATGCCAAAGCTAGCTGGGCAACAGGGCAGTTTCAAAAGCAGGGCAACAGGGCAGTTTCCCTGCACTTGGAGGTCATGCTGAAGTGCAAAGCCACAACAGAAGCGTAGCTGCAACCACCGAACAATCATGTCGACTTGCGCACTGATGGATGGATGGCATTGGCATTGAAGGCCGGATCGCCTGTGCTGGTCTTTCAAAGTCCTTCGAAGCCGTATGAAGCCTCTTGTGCAGGTGCGGGCGCCGCTGGCGCTGCTCTGCTTCGTCGCAGAGTGCATACCTCCGCCAAGCCACCCCGCCTTTGACCCTGGCAACTCCCCTGCACTTGTCCACTAGTCCATTGTTACAGAGTCAGCTGACTGCCAGTGAGCTTCTCGTGAGCTTGTCTAGGTGAGCGTAGAGTCAACAAGGAGCACATCGGAGATGGCCTCACACTAGCAGATGATCCGGAGTCACTTGGCAGCTTGCGCCGGAAAAGGAGCAATGGGGAGTGGTGCATGATTGAATGTAGCCTCAGCCAAGTGCTTCGACGCGAGGTTTGCGAAGAAACCCGACTCTGCAAATGCATTGGCGGACAGTGCTCCAGCATAGACCTGCAAGTGGTGGGCAGCAGAATGACGCAGATCACACCGGCTCCTGCGCCTCCTTGCAGCTGGGACACGAAGAGTACTAAGAGTCACAGGACCCGGGATGTGAAGAAACCACAGGCTGGCCAGAGCCGGGACCTCGGCCTTCCCAAGCCTCGCTGCCGGGTGTCTCCATATTCATCGAGACGGGAGATGGCGGAGATGGGAGGTACCGCCAACGACTTGTTAGCTTGGCAAGTGAAGAGTGGCGAGATGCTGCGGCTCTAGCCTTCGCAGACGTCTCAGAAACACTGCTGATACTGCTGGGATGCTTCCAAATTATAGGTATAAGCAAAGTAGGGCGAGCCGCCAGGAGTGGATGACTGAGCGTGACATGATGAAGCAAGCTGCTTAGCAATTGCCTTCCGGACGGGGGGTGGTTCACTAGTGGTTCACCGTGGGGACTGACACGTTAAGGACCAAGGTCATGGATGAAGAGGCAAAGACCTGTCTCCTTGGAGTCATCGCATTGGCCTCAGGCCACGCTGCAGTGACGCTCCACACGCTCCCAAATCTGACGCTGACCGCTGAGACCTCCATCTACTTGCTCGCAAAGTATTCCTTGGAAGCCACGGCCTTCACCAGACGAACCCTGAAAACCATCATACCATCATGCAGCACACCGAGCAAAGCTTTAGGAAGATGGCAGCTGGGAGTCGGCCGTGTACTTGATGCGATCGATGAGTGGCTACGTGCCTCTTGCATGCACGTGACATCACGTGACCCTGATGTCCAAGAGGGGGGGAGCCTTCGGGGCCTTCTGACGAATCTGGTGTCGACTCCGAGGTCGAGCCTGCATCCAGACAAGTTTGATCAAATCACTGCAGAGGGCCAGCGCTGGCCTGTAACTGTGTTGACCTCAGTGATTCAGGCCCATGAATCCCACAAAACTGCGTGCAATCTTCATGCCGCACACGCGCCATAGACAAGGTCGCGCAGCTGGACTCGATGAGAAGACACCTGGCAAGTGTGTCACGGGACAGGACACACATGCACTCGGGTTCAACACGGCGGCCTTGCGGGAATGTCTTGGACGTCGGCAGCTTCACAGGACCACCACATCATGGAAGAACAGCGAGGGCGAGCGCTTCAGCCTTAGCATCAGAGCTTGTTCCGCACATTTCCGGTTCATGGATTCATGAACTGAGGCTTCGTGGGCAACGCATTCGGATTTCAAGGTTCAGACCTTGTGGAGGATGGAGTATCGCTTCGAGACTCCATGAAGATCTACGTCTACGATGTTGAGGAGACCGATCAGGGATTGCCACCGCCAGAGGTTTGTGGCGAATGAGACCTGTACAGGAGTACGCGGAGCTCAAGTTGCTTGCGCGGGGGGCATCCTTCTGCCGCCAAACTCCAAGACACATCCCGGAACAAAGATTCATTTGCTCTGAGAATGTCCGGAGGGGGGAGGGAGAATCCCAAGGTGAAAACCAGTGGGGCTTCGAAGTCAGCTTACACGAGTGGTTCCTGACCTGTCCTTGCCGCACCGACGATCCCTTCGAAGCTTCTAGCCATCGGAAGATAGTCACGCGGCAGCAGCCATGGTCCGCTGCGTGGCTTTTCTGCGACATGCGAGGCTGACTTCTTCTTCGTTCCGCACTACACCGCCTGCCACTTGAATGTGGAGACCTTTACGGAGGCCCATGTCACTGCCCCTGTTCATGTCAAGGCCTAGCAGAGCCGTGCTCAGGCACAGTCTGATGAGCTTTTCAAAAGTTACGCAGCTGCAGTCAGCAGTTGTTAAATGCCGGCTTCCCTCACGGCCCTGCTTGCTTGTGTGGCTATCCGAAGTTGCTCTTGAAGAAGATCTTCAGATCTTCTGTCTTTGAGGCTTGGTGCCACGGCTGGCACACTACAGACGATCGCGGGGCAGAGATCACGTTTTCGTTTGGGGCGGTGGCTTCGGCATCTCAGTTGCAATCGAGGTGAGGTTGAAGGTTGGAGACTCAACACGAATCTTGCCATGGTGAGGAGCTGATGGCCCTTTCCGTTCATGGCGCGCGCACATCGAAGATGCGATCTTTATCATGACGGTCACTTGGCCACTCCGGAGAAATCTTCAGTCGGAGGCGGCCTTACGTAAAAATCTGATATCCAGGATGCCCTGTTGTAGCCAAGGAAACGGAGCTGTGGAACCCGTACCGCGACATTGTTACTCCGTCTTTCTCTCCATGGAAGGAGCGAAGTGTGCCAGGTGCTCGCGCTTTGTCCGAACCTCTCCAAACGTTCTCGTGAAGCTTGTCAGATCTCATGGCAGGACATCTTGATTCCTGGACGGATCTCTGTGGGGGAGGTGGTGCAGCTTTCGAAAGTTGCACCAAAGCCAGCCTCAAGACATTTTCTGGCAGATTTTGTCTGGCCCCTACGCAGATGCAGCGCAATTGAAACTGCTGCACAGCTTACGAGAGTCTTCTGTTGGTGCAGCATGAATAAACTCAAATTTTAATCCCAGGTGGGCTGGAATCGGCCGCTGCACATCGCACAGGGCGGCTTGAACTCCAGTCGCCTGTTCCAAGCTTGACCGCTTCTTTTTCGTTTTTGGCCAGAACAGCATTGAAAGTGCATGATGAGCTCGTTCGTATAACTTTTAAGCTGACATGTGCGGATGCAGAACAGGTCTTCGTTTTGTAATGTCAGCCCACGAGTCGCTGCTCTCAGGTTCTCCCCGGGAGCAGTTGCTTGAGCTGGCCCACGAGACGCTGAGACTCAAACGTCAGAACCTGTGTGGCATGCAGAGCATTCTGTAGCCAAGGCATGATCTGCACATCCGCCAAGATGTGCCCTATCGGGAGGCCGAACATGTGCAAATGGCTGATGGCTGCGCCTGACTGCTCGATGTTCGCACGCATGTCGAAAGGCGACGCAGGGCGCCCTGTCTTCGCGGTTCTGCTTCGTCCCGAGAGGCAAGTCGGCGTGGTCATCGAGGCCCTGGCAGTAGTAATGTAGTCAAAATGCGCAAGCAGGCACATGTTGTAACATGCAAGCTGTAATTACAATCGGAATTGTTTGGGTGCGTGACTGGCGGCTGTACGAAGGGGCGGTTGTGCATGCACAGATTGTAAAACCGTCCATCGCAGGTTCTTTCGAGTGCTCTTCTCAGATTGCCTGCCGGTGCTGCTGAATGACTTCTACGCCACACCCTCAGACGATCTTAGATGCTTGGTGCTGGCAAGAGGGTGGGAAGGGGAGGGCACGGTGCGGCTGCCCCCAGGAAGGTGGATGAAGGCAGGGTGCCTCCATCTTAGGTGGTGTTGGAGCATGCGGCCCACCCAAAAGATGCAGCTCTCCATGCTCATTGTTCATGTTCCTCTCCACACCTCGGCAGCCGGGCCTGCCGGCTCGGAGTTTCGCCGCAGATGCCTCAAGGAAGTCCGAAGGGTCAGAAGGAAAAGGTGCCGGAGAGCAGCCGGCCCGTAAACGCCGTAAACCCCGTATAAAGGCTTTCTTCTTGTTGAGGCCTTTTGGCGCTGCTCTAGACCCTCCAAGATGCCAAGAGCCCAAGAGAGAGGCCGTCTGAAGCTTGGGTGGTGGGAGCTGCCAAGAAGTCAAGAAGGCAGCAAAGAGGGTTTCTCGCCCGCCCGAAGGATGTCGTATGATGTCGTGCTACAAGGTGCACTTGTTGTTCGTGTTCGTGGCCCTGTTGCCAAGTGAAGCTTGGGTAGGGGGTGCAACTATAAAAGTCAAGAAGCAGCAAAATAGAGAGGCGGTTATAGGAAACCTCAGGATTCCCCAGAAGGTTAAACAGCCCATTGGGTGCCTGTTTTTGCCCTGCTGATCCCCCGGCTTGTTTTCCAGCGGTCTGAGAATGCTTTACGTGCTGGGACGAGCCGGTCAGTATGCCGTCCCACCTGTCTCCCCCAACTTCCATCTCTTGAACACGGGCACGCAGATGCGGGGTTAAAAAACGCGGATCGTTGCTGAGAAAAAAGACTAGCGTGATGATGATTTCCGCAACACCCATTGCAACACCCAGGAGCCGCCGTATGGAGAGATCTTCGACGCTTCCGGCTTCACTGTCAGGTGGCCGATGCAGCAGGTTGGCCCATGGCTGAGTCTGATTTGGCGGCATTTCGCGGCCCACTGCTTCTGATTACAGAAATTTCAAGTCCACGATTCTCAAAGCAAAGAACCGCTTAACATAAGAGGGTGAGTTCTGCAGTGCGGCAGCAAGTAGCAAATCACTCCAAGGCCAAGAACTTCTCGATACACTGCGGGCAGTGCCAGTTCAAGCGCTGGAGACGATGTGAGGTGCCAAGCTTTGGTTGACTGTGGCGAGCTTTTTTCCCGTAACATCAACAGGAATCAAGATGGGCTCGAGTTATAGCCTGCCCCTGTGAGCCCCACGGCCATGCAAGCCGGGCGATCTCATTATTGGCCTGTCGGGTAGAAGAATGCATGGGTAACACGCTTTGAGGCTGGAGAAGGCTCATCAACATCGATGCTGGTGGGAGCCTCAGCAGTCCCAGGGTGGGTCCAACTTCTTTCCATGTGGCTGGCAGGTATATTTGGACGCCTGCGGTCATTGATCATGATAACGTGGACCGATGGTGCAGTGGTTAGAGTGGCTCACGCGCAAAGTGTGTCAAATCTCTATAGCACCTCATTGACCAGTTGCCTTGCACGCCGCTGCGCGAGGGCGAGCGTCGAGATACCTCTTGCAGTAGGCATTTCGGCTCAAGTGTCTGCATCCAGCAACTTTGCGGCACAATTGAGCCATTGGGCCGTGCCAAAGTGCGGCTCGTGAGCCGCGGCTGGCACCTTCAGAGCCATTCAGAGCCATGCCGGTGCTGCAAGGCGGTGACTGGTACCACATCGAGGGCGAAACCCCGGCGCCGCTGAAGGAGCCTGAGCAAAAGGCAGAAAACAAGCCTGGGCATCGCCCCTTGGGCTCCTACAAGCTGCCGAAATGGGTCTACCATCCAGAGCGGGCGAACCGAAGGATTGTCATCAACAAGGAGGACTACTTCGGAATGGCAGCAGACGGTCTCCGGAACTTTGACCTCTGGAACGTGGCCCATGTGGCTGCATACCACGACGACTTGAAGCTCTTGTCGCTTGCCACCCTCGAGCAGTGCAAGGAGCCAAACAGGTGGGGGATGACCCCTATGCACATGACCGGCCTGGGACAGCACCCCTACGGTCCTTCCCTTTGTGTGCTCTGGGAGCTTGTGCAAATGGGGGCAGCAGACCCGATGGCCCTGAACTCTGCAGATCAAAGCCCATGGCACATTGCGCAGCGCATGCAGAAGCCTTCTCACCTGAAGAAGTGGGAGAAGGTGGTCTTCAAAGGCGGAAAGCCAGACGAGTACGACAGCAAGAAGGAGGCTCAGCTCAAGCCGAGGGGCAAGTACGCGCGTGCTCTCGGTTTGGACCCTGTGATGCCGGAGGACACCACAAAGCCGCTTCCGGTTTGCTTGGTTTTCCCAGGCCAGGGTGCCCAGTACGTGGGCATGCTGCAGAAGCAGAAGGACCTTCCAGCGGTGAAGGCGATGCTCACAAAGGCAAAGGAGGTTCTGGGTTACGATCTTGTGGAAATCATTCAGAGTGGCCCGGAAGACAAGTTGGCAGAGACACAATATTGTCAACCAGCCATGTACATCGCTGGGCTGGCTGCCCTGGAGCAGCTTAAGCTCGAGGAGGAGGACAAAGTCAGCAGATGTCGGGCGGTGGCTGGCCTGTCTTTGGGCGAGTACGTCGCTCTGACGGCTGCAGGCGTTTTTGAGTTTGAGACTGGATTGCGGCTCCTCAAGGTCCGCTCCGAGGCGATGCAGTTCGAACTCTCCGGTAGCCGACCGGGCGCGAAGGCCCAAGGCATGTGCCTAGCTGTCGGCCTGGTCAAAGACGAAGTCGAGCGACTTTGCAAGGAGTGTGCTGGCAAGGGCGAAACCTGCCAGATCGCTGCTTGCCTCTTCTCGCGCGCCTTCTCGGTTGCGGGAAGCCGCTCGGCCGTGGAGTCCTTTGTCGAGAAGGCAATGGCCGCCGGCGCACTGCAGTGCTCCCTGCTGAAGCAATCCGGCGCTTTCCACACTCCCGAGATGTTGGATGTTCGGAACATCGTCGTCAAGGAGCTGGAGGCCGCCAAGGCCAAGATGAAGCCTCCTCGCTGCACCGTCTATGCCAATGCGACAGCGAAGGCGATCGGCCCGGACACACCTGTCCAGGAGATTGTGAAGCTGCTCGCAGACCAGATGGTGTCGCCTGTACTCTGGGAACAGTCCATGCAGCAAGCGATCAGGGACGGCTGCACGGAATTCTACGAGCTTGGACCTGGCTCTCAGCTGAAGGGCATTCTGAAGAGGATTGATGGCAAGATTGCCGACAGGATGTGCAACCTCTCGGTCTAGACGGTCTAGAGTTTCAGATTTTGTGCCTAGACTTAGTTTGCCAGGGCACGCTGAGCCTCAAATTGCCAACCCCAAACTGCACCACATTAACTACACTACACATATCATCCATTACCCGGGTTTCAATCAGAAACATGGGGGGGAGCATCGTCACTCCAGTTCCAGAGACATATGACACGGTAGCTTCATGCCTTCCTCCCAGCCTTCCAAAGACTCTCAAGACTCTCAACACATGTAGGCCCCGGTAGTTCGTTACCAGACTCTGCTTCCGGACTGTCTCACGCCAGAGCACAGCGGTGAACAAAAAGTCTGAGTGCAGTTGTCTGTCCACGGTCGCTTTATGCTGTTGGTGATAAGTCTGGCTGATTACGTCCTTTTTTTGTGTGCACGCCTTTCACCCGCCATGACCTGCTACTGTTTGAGAGCACTTGAATCTGGTGCGTAGGACTTGCAGAAGGAGAAGCTGACGAAGCCATGTCCAAGGTGGAGAGCCGAGAACGCTTTCATCGGAGTCATGAGGCCCTGGTCTGGCAATTCCAGGAGTTCCCTTCATCAAAAGACACCCGAGAGATTGAGAGATTGGGACACCGGGTGCAGGGAGACTGCGATGGGAGACTTGGGAGGCTGCTGCGCCGCCGCCGCCGGGCGAGTCACGCACCGGCGTTTGGAAAGGCCTTCCATGTTCCCGACGAGGCGTGTTGGGCGAAAGAGATACTGAGGGAGAGAAGAAGAAGGGAGGGAGAGGCGCGGCACGGAGGGCATGAATCATGTTCTCTCAGTGTGAGAAGCTCAAGCAGGCCGGCGAGCCCGTGCCAGTGGTTGCCCAAACATGAGACAGGCTCGCGGTCACCTCTCTTGCGCTTGCATGGGGACCCTTCATGTTGCTCTGAGTTCCTTCGCCAAACAGGCCTCCATGTGGCGCAAGAACAGCAGAGGATACCCGTGCTCGGGTGAAGGCCAGGGAATTGCGTCCCGATTCTACTGAGCTTGTCATGCGGTGAAGCACGGACTCAGCACTGCGCAATGACCATGCTTTACAAGGATTGCGCGAGCGAGGTGAGCAACTTTGTACTCGTTTCTCTTGAGCCCATGTCAGGAACATTCAGGAACATCGGCCTTAAGATTCCGATGCCATGGATTCACAGCGGGTGGGCGACCTCACTGCTCCAGTACTGCTCCATGTGCAAGCGCAGGCAGTCGACAGCGGACAGCGTGTGGAATCTGACGTTGGCAAATTGACGCGGCAGGAAGTCGGAAGACGTGGACACTGACGTGGACAGCATCAGTGACGACGAAGTGAGGGAACACTTTGGGGGGAGCAGGTGTGAGGTTTCCAGGCGAGCCACGGCCCGTTGGACCACATGCAAAACTCGCGAATACTGTAGGTGATGTTAGAGACTTGCAAAAGTGGCATGATGGAGAGGAGGAAAAGTCACGCTGTAGTGGTGGAAGACATGGTGAGACTGTGAAGTTTCCGACGGGGCTGGTCCATTGCGAAGCTTGTGGTTGCAGACTTGGATTTCATCATTTTGGGATACGGACGCTGATGATCCATCGGCAATATGCTGGCTCATGACAGTGACGGCCAAAACCTCCACTACTGTTGGGCTGTCTTGAACAGACCCTGTTGAAGAATTGAAAACTGATTGCTTTGACGTGAGTCTATGTGGATGTCGAAGGCCCATATGGGTACCCCCCCCCCCCCCCCCCTCCCCCGGATTTTCGGAAACCCACATGCAAGAGTTCTGAGGCCTGGCGGCAGGAGCCGAATCCATCTCAAAAGCCTGCACTTCCGCGCTGCTCCTCAATCCAAACTTACATGAGGCCTCCGCTGCCCACTGGGATCGGTTTAGGGGTGTACTGCACAAAAAAGGGTTCGAGCATGGGAATAGAGCCGGGCGGCCACGAAGCCTGTTCCAAACATCATGCCCTCAAAAATGGCACGGCAGAGAGAGAAGAGGGTCATGCGGCTGTATGCTATTACACGGTTATTCGGTGTTCCCAACCGTGTCGTACACTAGCTTACAGCCGTCGACCGGCTTCAGGCCATGCTCGTTCGTGGCCAGGCGCAGCTTCGCTTGCTCCCTGGTCGTGCCACAGTGTCCAAATGTCCAGAGGGCAGCAAGTATGTGCTTACCAGCTTTGGGTCATATGATATGCATATACATCATATACCTAACTGAGCGAAAAGAGCCTCGCATTGCAAATGCAAGTGCGCCTGCGCCGAGAGCTGGGCTTCTTCGCCGCCTGCGAGCTCGATTGCAGTGATGCCTTGAAAGCCATCCCGGACAGCGTCCCCTGCTGAGCCATGCTGAGCCTGTCGAACATCGAAAATCATCGGGTGCTGTAGTTGGGCACTAGGCTAAGGGGCCCTGGTGCCTTCCAAGCAGCGATGTAAATGCTACAGATTGCTGTGGACCGCGCCAAGAACACATGCATGCGGGCGTTTACGCCAACATCAGTCTCTTCAGAATCAGAAGCCCTTGAGGCAACTGCATGGGCCACTCGGGGGAGAGCGCGACTGCAGCTTGGTTTGCAGACTTACTGCTCACTTTCGGCTTTCGGTGCTAGTAGCTGGCGTCTGCCATGGATCCTGTGCCCAGATCCAACTGGTCCTCGACCATTGTTCCAAAACTGAGGAGACAGAAGTGTTACCGCGAAGCAGCAGACGATTGCCGTCGGTCTCTTGAGCTAGATGCCTCGAGCCTAGTCAGAGCCTAGTCATTCGCGATCAGTGTCGATCATGGGGCATGGAATCTTCCCCACATTGAACGTGCAGGCGCAGTCCCGCCTGGCTATGTCCACGTTGGGTGCAGCACTGCTCAACTTGGGCATCCAGCTCAGATGAAGAGCAGCACGCTACACAGAAAGTTGATTACATCTGTAGTGATGCTTCTCGTTGGCGGCTAGCTGTCGCATCCTCCAACGGCACAGCGATTCTAGCTAGACTCTGCCGTTTTTCACAACCAAGCTATGCTTTTCTAGGTCTGCGTGTGCGTGTGAAGGGGTCGGTGCGTGGGTAGGGTGTGAACGAAGCTAAGGCGACCACGAAGGTGCGCTTGAGTACTGTGATCAGGCCGTGAACTCTATGCGCCGGGCTTGGGATGGTTGGCTGTGGATAGCTCTTGCAGGGAGGCCGCGTGCCTCGCACACTGAGTGCGCTTGCGCTTGCACCTTTTTTCATCGCTCACTGGAGAAGAAGATGAGGTTGGATCCGAAGGGCGAAGTGGAGGCCAGCTTCAACATGTGAGCTGACAACACAATCTCGCAACATCGGCTCCGCATGGGCAACACTCTTGGAGCCCACCAGGCAAAAAACCAAAACAAGCGGTCAAAAAAGAAAGCTGGCATGGGTCGCAGCAAGGACGCTTTTTGCCTGCTTTTTCCGTCACAGCTGCTCCCTGCTCTACTGCCGCACCAGCAGGACCGTCGGAAAATGAAGGCCAACCGGTTGGGGATGTATCTTCGGGATTCTTCGGGATGTTCAGTGCCTGATGCGACATCTGGGTTTTGCGTTCTCAGGATAAGAAGAGTGTTAGCAAGATGCCGGCTTAGTGCATTCTCTGGTGGGCGGTATGGTCTACTGCTTGGACTCGTGTCGGCTCGTCTTACCAAGGCTTGCTTCTTCGGCCACTGCCTCCACAACAACTTTAGCGTAGCCCCCTTGTGCTTCAAATTCAAGTCGAAATCACCTTACTCAGACTGAAGATTCATGGCTTGCTGGTGTAGCCGTGTACTCAGCCAAGGGCAGGGAGTGCCAACGAGGCCCTTGTGCGCCATGTCTGCTTGAACTCCTTTGCTGCATCGCTAACAGCTTTTGTTGTGCATGTTGCGAGGAGCCTCAGGAGGCTGCGGAGCCCAACCAAGAGTCGGAGCCAACAGCTGAGTATGAAGGACGCTGGGCCGCATGCACGTGCTGGAACAGGGCATGCCTACACAGCGTTGTACTTCGCTCATGGGAGCTCTTGACGTTCTCTGTCTTAGTCTCTGGCACTAGCACGAGCCTCTGCAGCGCAGGTCAAGGTGACGCAGAACCGGAGGGCGGTGGTCCTGCAGTACAAGCTGACGTACCAGACGTACCAGCCGCCGAAGAAGGCCAGATGTGGCAGTTGCTTTCAGCCTCATCCGCACGGAGAATTATTGCCATGCCTGCAGGTCAGAATGGAGCTTCTCCCGATGCGGAGAGTTCCATCCTCCAGGTCGCAGCGAAACAGCGAAACATATCTCTTGCCACGCAAGTATTCTGTACTGGCAGACAGGAAAGTCCACTGCAAGCAGGAGACAGGGACATGGACAGATCAGAGATTGAGGCCACCGGCCATATTTCTGATCATGAACCGTAGCGTGTTCTTTCCTCGATAGGAGCTGGCGGACCTATACACAATGCGTGCCCAAGCCAAAGTGGCACTAGGAGACTTGGCCGGGGGCCTTGAGGACTCATATGAGGTGGTGGTTCACGTGAGTTAAATCCTAAACGAACGCTGAGGATGGAACAATTGAAGACTGCTCGCATGCATTACAGCTCAATGACCTCGCCTTAGACGCCTCATGAGTCATGAATGAGTGGCTGGCATGCGAGCGAGAACCACCTGGACCCACTCTGAGGAACGAGTCCCATTCTGCAAAGACCCCAGCTTGGAGACCATCCATGTGCTGAGTTAAGAAATGGGTGTTTCTTAGCACTGGATTCGCCGAATCATGTCTCGAGCTAAGGCTGGGCCGCCCGGGCGGAAGCGAAGCGTCTGCAGCCTGCAGCCTATAGTAGGATGCAATGTGTGAGTACTTGGGAAGACTTTCTGGTGAAGGGGAAGGGGCTGAAAGTCGAAGTCGAACTAAGTGCACGAGTTTTCTGAATCCATCATCTATCTGACACAAGGGGCAAGCTCAGCGAAGCCGTGGCAGAAGCCAGCGAGGCAGCTTGGATGAGTGAAGGCATATTGGAGCTTCCCCACTGGCGAGAAAAAGAGAGACGGGGGCCCTGAGGCCTCCGAAGAAAAGAAGGGAAAACGGAATAACTTAAGTGGGATGTGTGAGGTTCGTGTCGTGTGAAGGTTTTGGGGGAGAAGGGCGGTTGAGGGGTCAGAGCGACTCGATGGCAGTCGAAAACCGACGGAGGGCAAGGGGCCAGTGATAGCGAACACCGCGAACAGAGTCAAGGGCACGTGTCATGTGCGGGAGCTTGCTCCGAAAGAAAGACATAAAGAACGGAATCAGAACCGGTGGAAACGGGGCTTGTGTGTAAGTTCCTCGCAAATCGTGGGTGTGCACGGTGCGCGGTAGCAGAGGAGCAGGAGAACGGAACAACGCAGACCTTGTTAGCAGGTGCAACGATTTGGGGCGAATGACCTGCGCATAGCTGTTGTATAGATTGTAAGCCAGCTGGTAACCAGGCGCTGCACTTTTGAGTGTTTCGTTTTGGGCAGCTTCGGCGCTAGGGCTTTGCGCAAGGGGCTTTGGGCACCAGCCAAAGGAGAAATTCTCAAGGCTTTTTTGGCCTCCAACTGCCAAGTACTGCTTCGCAAAAAGAGTCTTTGAGCATTAGAACGAGCGGATGAAGAGAAGACTCAATGGCGACCTCGCCATATTCCAACCTAAAACTTCTGACTGGGGGAGGGTTATTTATGGACTTTCGGCAAGAGGCCCCGCCACGTCTTGGCTTGGCCCTGTTAAAGGCTCTACTCAAAGCCCTGGAGCCCAAACCTCACTAAGTCAACCAGATCCAGTCACCAAAGCTTCAGGAAGCACGCGCGCAGTTTTCGCAAAAACTCGAAAACCCGAACAATCGGTTGCCCGTCCGTTTTCGCGAAAATTCGAGAACTCGAAAATTCGAAAATCTCGCATTTTCGTTTTTTTTCGCGTCCGCGCGCCAAGAGCAAATTCGAAAATTCAATATTTTCTTTTTTTCGCGTCCGCGAACCAGGCAATTTTCGTATTTCTCGCTCCCGCGCGCCAAGCACAAATGCAAACATTTTGAAATTTTCGTTTTTTTCGCGCCCGCGCGCCAAGCACAAATTCGAAAATTCGAAAGCTTCCGTTTTTTCGCGTCTGCATGCCAAACATTTTCGAAAGTGTTGAGATTTTTTTTTCGTGTCTGCGCGCCAACCACAAGTTCGTATTTGTTTTTTCATTTTCATGTGCGCTGGTGCTGTCGTGGAGCGATGGTGCAGTCGCATTCCCGTCTCAGGCAATAGCATAGCGCGGGTTCAAAAAAAAGAGTTCACGCGCCAAACACAACTTAAAAACTTTCAATATTTACATTTTCTTCGTGTCCGCGCGCCAACCATAGATTGGAGAATTTGCGTAAGCTCCGAATACCTTCCATAAATCACTTCCCAAAAGAACTTACACACTTATCCTCTAGACACTAAAGCCTCAGTATCCTGTTTCAAGGGATTCAATGGATGAAGGTGGCTCGGCCCAAGACTTCACCGGCCACAATTGAGATTCTGAGCCGGATCCGCCCTGAACATCGGCAGAGATGCTTTAAGAAATTTGAGAAGGCCTTTGAGTCAAGGGGGCCTCAGGTTGTCAGTGGAGTTGCTCAGCTGGGTTCAGTGCATTGTGCATCTCCAGGCTTGCGCTTTGCACATGCGATACCCACATTGCAAGACCATAATTGCGTTGCCGAAGAAGCCATACATGAAGAGCAGAAATCGTAGTTTTTCGTAGGTTGCCGCCTATCGTGAGCACATGTACTACTGCGTCTGTATGAAATGAAAGCCCCTGAAGCAGCAAAGGCAAGCAGTTTCAAAGCCCTAGAAGGATAACTCAAGAATTAAACCCAAAACAACTCCCAAGCCTCGGACCTTCAGCTATGCGCTTTTCCCGTCAGAAGGCACGTGAACGTGTGTGACTAAATATGTTACATGTACATTTACAACGGTTTTCTTTACACGCGTCGTTTATTGTCGCAACAAACAGATTGTTTAATGATGTTTAATGCTTGCCTGTAACCTCGAAGATTTAACACGCGCGCGCGCACGCGACAAGTAGAAATTGAGAGCATCCAAACGGGCAAAACTTTCGCGTCCGAAATTCGAAGATTTAGAAATTCCGTTTTTTCGCATACGCTCGCCAAGCACAAATTCGAAAATGTCGACATTTTTGTATTTCTCGCTCCCGCGCACCAAGCACAAATGCAAACATTTTGAGATTTTCGTTTTTTAGCGTCCGCACGCTAAACACAAATTCGAAAAGAAAGCTTTCGTTCTTTCGCATCCGCGCGCCAAGCACAAATTCGAAAATTCGAAATTTTGTTTTCTCGCGTCCGCGCGCCAAGGGAAAACGCGTAAATTCTGGAGCCGCGTTTGGTTGACACATCCCTCAGGCGCCCAATTGCAAACCAGAAGAAGAGTAACGCGAAGAATGGCCCTAGAATTTGCCCTACAGTACAAGGAGGAATTAAGAAAGCGTGTGACATGGTGTTCCCGAGTGACCCCGCACAAGGGGCACCGCCTCGAACCCAAGCACCCAGAAAGAAAGAGTGACGAAAGGATCAAGCTGCCATGTGAGCTGCGTTTTTTTAGGCGCTCGAGCATAGGTACTTTGCAGCGGACATTATTATTGTCCGCGGAAGGGGTGAAGAGGTGAACAGGATTCCGCGGAAGGTCGCGGAAGGATCCGCGGAAGGCGTGGTGTCCTCGGAAGGCTCGCGGAAGGGCGGCGTGCTTGAAGCTTAGATATAATGGATGCCCAACATGCCGGCAACCGTTTCGGAGAGCGGATCTGCGCGGAAGGCCCGCGGAAGGGTTGTGGAAGCTCCGCGGAAGGCGACGGGTCGTTTTGGAGGCCTAGAGTCCATGCCTCATCCTCATATACACATTATCCACTCATTTCTGTTTCGGGCCGGGTGCGAAGGTGGAATCGCGTTTTTCCGCGGAAGGCTCGCGGAAGGAACGCGGAACCCGCCGTGGAAGGCCGCGGAAGGGTCCGCGGAAGGGTTATAATGTCCATCGATTCATGCTAGGGAAAAAAACACGGCTCATGTGAACCCAGAGTCAGAAGGCAGCGAAGCAGTCAGAACCACAAGGGAACAGGGAAGAAAATGCCAGTAGATTCGATGAACGAACACATTGGCCCGAGCCCGCACCACCGCTGAAGACCACCTACGACCTACAAGCCAGGTACGACTTGGGATGTTCCCCCTTGTACTAGCAGTCCTTAATAGGGATTCTTCTAGGGGGTACTACATTCCCTATTAAGGACTGTTAGTCTAAGGGGGAATCCCAGAAAACGACCTATGAGCCGGTCAAGGTTGTCAGTTCTGCTCGGAGTAGCGACTAAAGGGCTCTTGAAGCACCACCGAATTTGCAACTTGTGCGGGAAGGGGTACGCTCTGGCCTCTGGCCCTGACTCCTAGAAACAACGCCAGAAAAGCATGCAAGAAAGCGTTGAAGATTCGGATGCTCCCGCGCACTGGGTTGGGCGGCCTCAATCTCTGGCCTCAATCTCTGGCCCACCAGAAAAAGAAAAGACGAATAGGTAGAATTAGTTAGATGGTTCTGGGTGTGTCTTTTCTGAAGTACCGGTCTCAAATGCAGGCACCGGAAAGAGAATTGAAAATGATTGGTTTGTGAAATGTTCACTCGGCTCGGCTTTCAAGCGAAAGCGAATGGAAAGCTTTGTTTGACCACGCCCTGCAATGCCCTGCGCTTGGCAGAGGCACTGCGCTTGGACCCCTTGAACGTGTGCGTTGCTCGGATCTCCGTGATACGAAGACCCGGCAGCGCATGAGCCAGCTCAGGTCAGCCTACATCACCCGAGCAAAGGCCAAGCTTAAAGCAGGTGAGATGCAATTCGTTCAGAGCCAAGTCGCGCAGAATGAGTGATATGAGTGATATGAGTGATATGAGTGATATGAGTGATGCAATGACGGCCCAAGCCCCCAACGCGGCATGTTGACATCTGGAGCGCCTTGATAAGGTGGTCACGGACTGCAGCGAAGCATTGGCACTGGACTTGCATCAAGCCACTGCGTGGTCGGCCTCCTGGAGTCCATATATATATATATATATAGGTGTGTTTTGAGCATGTTTTCAGCACGCACTTGAAGTGCTTGTCCATGCAGACTCTACAAGTTGAGGTCCACACGAGCGGCGGCCAGGCAGTTCTTTGCTGGGCAGTTTGGACGGCTGATTGGATTGCTCTGTCTCTGTCTAACGACAGGCTGGACCTTGGGGATGTTGCCGGGTCTTTGAGCGATGCACGAAGTGCGGGCTTCTCAGATCAGATCTGAAGCCCATGACCTTGAGGTTTTCCGACTTGTGCTGCATAGGCTTGACGCGCGGTTTGTGGAAGTGTGCTGCGCTCTGTTCAGTAGGGGGGGGGGGCCTCGCTGCCTTCCTGGACGGAGCCTAAATCATTAAAGATGTTTTAATTTCCTGCCTTTGAGAAGTTTTTGAGGCTGAAGTATCTAGCCCCTCGCCCCCAGAACCGGTAGCTACTAGGCACTAGCGGGTGACGGTGACCCAACAAACTCAGGAAACTAAAAAAGCACGGAAAACTTCGCTTTACAGCCGATGGCTTCACAAACTTGCATGCAACGTTAGCAGCCATTGGCAGCAGAGTCAGCAGTTCTGGAAGGCAATCAACTTGGACGGAGACCGCCACTGAGTGCACACAGTTGTTGCACACTGTTGTGGTAGTGCCGATTGGACCCCAGAAGCCTGCTGTAGAGGAAGATGTGGATGGATGGTGTGTGCACCTCGGACTCCTGAGTGGAACTTGGCCCTGAAAGTGTGAACGTCAGTGACGATAAGATCAGCACATGAGATACTTGAGGTGCTCTAGGTGGAGCCCATCTCGACAGCAAGGACATGGTGGCCGCTGTTGAGGCGTCCAGCAAGGCTTGGCAAGGACTCCAGAAAAAACAATCAAATTCAGTACTGCTTAAGTCTTGCTGCGGAGTGGCTGGAAAACGATCATGTCGGAAAATCCCATGCAGAGGCGATTGGCCTGGACCCAAGCTGTGCCCGAGCATGGCCACGTGCTTAGTCGTGCCCCAACGTCTGGTATTGCAACACCGCGACATGCCTTGGATTTTTTTGCACTGATGCGCTGCATTAGCAGCGGCCTTCCCACGAATGGATGCCAGCCTGGTCAATGGGCTCTTCTGATCGGCAACGGAAGGCAAGACCATTGTACTTCTGCAGTGCCCAGGTTCAACAGGGGCTGTGCGCGAGCTGATCTGGAGGACAGCACTGAGTTCTAGTCTCCCTCTTGGGACTGGCGTTTAAGACTGGCCTTTAAGGCCGGCAGCGCTGCAGTTCACCTTGCAGCGACTAGATCCTAGAGTGGCCACAAGTACTCTGAAGGCTCGGGATTTCAACTGCAAAGGAGGATGTTCTGTGGGACAAGTTTCAGGGCTAGAAAGCTCCGGCAGCGTCTATCCCTACATAACTGTGCTGCGCATTCGGATAAACCGGTGCTAGTTGGAGCGGGCCGAATCGGCGGCCAATACTTTTCAGTAGTCCGGTTCAAGGTTCCAGCGTCTCAAGGTGCTGACCGTTGCAGTCAAGCGCCCTAAGAACCTGGACACGCCCATCGCCCATCGTGTCACGAAGGAAGAAGTCTAGGAGCTTTCCTCTTGGGCTGTGCAGGACCTAGATGGTGCGCGGCAAGACTTCGACGAGGTGGTACGGCTTTGGCCGCCGCTTGCCGAAAATGGTTTCCTGCAGTGGTTCATGTTGTTTTTAGATGAGTACCACGTGTTGCTCTCGGACGCCCGTCCATTGCTTGGGAGGGAAAGCTTCATGGCCTTCACTTACCGCCACGGCCTTGCACAGCAAAAGCGGGACATGGTTGGATGCACCTCATGTTAGCTCTTGAATTTGCAGCTCTTGTGAGTTGATTGGAACATGTGCCTCGATCACCGCCTCTAGGCGCCCATATCCGGCTGAAGCAGCAGGACCTCGAAGGTGCCATCATGATGTGCCGACATTGATGCGCAGCACGCAGTCGCGATCGCAATGTGCTTTCCAGCTCTGTCCTGGCCGCACTGCAAGCATTCATGACTTCCCCTCGCAGGTGGCCTTCAGGACTGTGAGCAGGCTTTGCCTGGTTGTACTTTTCGGACGACGTTCTTTTTGTGAGATGGCTCTCGGGTCAATCCGAACCTTCTCGTAGCAATTTGGCGTGAGTCGAAAGGCGCTGCAGCTGGACAAGCGGCTCGTCAAAGCCATGTTCGGACCTCACATGGTCAAGTGTTGATCATGCGCAGAGCGTGTTTGCGGAATGCAGGCCATTACGATTGTGCACAGGTGCACTCAAGCCCAGATCAAGCGGATGACTGGTGACCTGAAAGGACAACAGTTGATTTCATGAGGGGGGTGGGACATGTCCAACAGTTGTGCTTACGCGTGAGCAACATAGCCTGGTGTAGGAGCCGTGTCCGACGCATCAACCGCGTTGAAGTGCGCACTGCTGCTTCGGGCAACTTTGCAGACGATGCACCAGCTGTTGAGACGACAGGTATGATCCAGACTGCGCTGCTGCCTTCTCCATCCGTCTCATGGCTGCATTCAGTCAGATGTTCAGCCCCAGCACGAACTCCTGCAGAAGACACTACGCTGCAGGCGGGCAGGCGTATTCAAAGATGGAGAAGCATGACAAGGCCGTTCAGGACAGCCTCGGACGAGGGCACGAAGAGCTGATTCAATAAGAACTGCAGCCTTGACACGAAAGCGGAAATCATGAGTCGTCAGCTTGCTGAGCTACACTGTCAGCTTCGCTTGCAGGACTGTCAGCGAGCCATTAAACTTGACCCGCCAACCCTTGAGGCACGCTGAGGAAACGCTAGCCTACAGGGCCTACAGCATGTTTTGCTGCGCCAGTTTGCTTGCTTTGCAAGACTCCCATGTTGGCGTGGCGCCATGCTTGTGCTGGGACCTTGGCGCCATGCCCCTCGCGAGACAGGGTTGGGCAGCGAGCGCGCGCGTGCAAAGGCTTCCGACCCTATTCCAACACCCATGACTGTGTGGGAGCATAGCGCTTAGCTTGTGGCACCAATGCACATGGATGGCTGACCGCCATAGGCTATCTGAATTGCTTCCAAGGTTTCAAGCTCTGGCTGCCAGGATGAAGCAAGAAGCGAAGGTCGTTGTTGGTGGATGGTCCAAGCTGCATGCTAATTCTGGGAATCGGCGCATGACCTCTGGTCACTCGTATCTCCAGGCCCAAGCAGCAGCAGAGGCGGCCGAGACATGGGCAAAGAAGGCTCATGGCAGTGTATGCCGGTTTTCTTGCTGGAACTGTGGCGCAGATGCCGGCCAGAGAGACGTAGTCGGAAGTTTGCATAGGCCAAAGCTGCAGCTGCCAAGAAAGCCCAGGAAGAAGCCTTGCCACTTGTTTGAAGATTCTTGCTACAGCTAAGTTAGTTGTTTATCTGGCCTCAGCCGAGGAGGGCAAGCATGAAGAAAAGCCGTGCCACTCCCAGCCGCAGTTGAAGCTTACCATTACAAATATGATGAATCTAATTAATTAATATGGTTTTTTCAATGCAATATTCATATTATAAATATATTGTCAAGAAAAATTGTGGCCCCCATGAAGAGCTCAAAGTTAGGACATGTTACGGCCATAAAGATCACAAGGCGCAGGAATGTAATTGACTGCATCAGACACCGTGCCAATGCATGGCTGCTTGGTTGTATGTTGCTTCACTCTTCAGGTAAGCGGGCGTGAGGACAAGTGCTTGAAGTGTTTCACTTTCAGGTTCCAGACAGTTGCAACCGCAAAGTGGTTGAGCTGAAAAGCGGAAGATTAGGCTGGCCCACAATGTCTGCTAACAGTTCTAGACTATGACGATCGTCACTCGTTTGCTTGAACTGAACTGGTGTTGCACACACCCAATGAAGCATGCTCGTTGCTCACATAAGTTCTCGCGAGTTGGCGTGAATGGTCATCTCTCCGCCGCTGTTTAGGCTTTGGGTGCGCAGCAAAACTTGCGGCAAAACCCACTTTTTTTTGGTGCAATGAAGTGCTGGAAGCTCGTGGCTTTCTTGCTTTGCCAGGTCTCCGGCCTGAAGTACGAAGCGGCTCCTGAGTGCAGCGGCGATGTCACCGGTGCCAAGATCTTCGAATGCGACGAGCAGGCAGCAGATGCCGACTGCGCGAAGAAGTATACCGTCGCAGGGGGTGATGTTCACATTCAGTGTGCCATCTCGGGCCCCAATTGCCTGGCAGTTGGCCCATTCTGCAAAAAGACCTCCGCTGCCTCCATGACCTGTTCAGGCTTGTCAGACTGCGAGAGCAAGGGCTGGAAGAAGACTTGGACTAGCGGGACTGCAACAAAGTACTCGGTGGCTTTGGGCACCCATGTGCTGCTGGGCTACGTGAAGGAGAACGGGGAGATGTCCCACGCCTGGTATTTCAAGACCCCGGACAGTTGGAAGACCACCCATCCCTACAACCTCCAACACCAAGGCGATATCATCGAAGCTATCCGTGCTTCTGATGGTACCAAGTACGAGGGTGAGCTGGTTTCCGACTATTCCAACTATGGCGGAGGCTGTGAGTGTGGAAAAGGCTCCGGCCATTGGGGTCGAATTTGCCTCCGCAGCAAGACACCTCCGGGTGGCGGTTGGAAGTGCCACGGCAAGGGTGGTGCTGTGCCGAAGGCCACTTCTCTCAACATAGCTCCACAAGTTTTCTGCTTTGCCTGTGAGGGCATGACAAAGTGACTAGCGAATTCTTCTTGGTAGTTGTATCTGAGGAAATCGATTTCCCATACATCCGGGGATATGGCCGGGGCAACGGATGTGGCAGCTCGAGTTTGAGCTTCTACAATTGGAATTCGGGCCCCAAGTTCTGCGGCGACTACAAAGTCGTGATCATGACCAACTAAGTGTACTGAAGTGGAAACTCGCCGAGCGGGACCTGAAAACGCACTCGTGGGCGCAAGAGTGTGCAGGCCTGTTGTTTTTGAGCAGCATTTGGCTGTTCGGATGAGTCGCACCCACACAACAGAAGCACTACATAGGAACAAATGTATTGCTGAACAAGATGAACATTCAGTCCGGATGCCTTGTTGAGGAAGAAGAAAGATTGCCTCAAATGAATATTGTGACTGAATTCACGTGACAGGAAGAAGCCTTGCCACTTGATAGAAGATTCGTGCTAGCTAAAGCTACGTTCCTTGCTTATCTTCCCTCAAGCATCTACTACTCATATGACTCCTGTGGTCATAATATGGTTAATGGCAAGATCAAAGACGTTTGCTTCGAGGTTTCTCCGACAAGCCTTGAGTTCTTATGGCTCTTAAAGACCTTAGCAGTAGACTTGGGAGTGCCATGATGAATTTGGGGTCTTTGTGAAAGCTTAGCAGCTCCCACGCAGATGTGATCTCAAAACCGAACCCCCTTGCTCCTGAGAAGACATTTTTGCCTGCCATGCTGTTCGCCTTGATTTGTTGGCCCCTGTGTGGGATGGTGCTCAGCCAGGAGCCTGAGACAATGCAGCTATTGCAACACAGACTTGCACTGGAAGGCCCCCAGGAGCAGCGCTTGAAAGCAGCAGAGCCCATCAACTGGGTTCATTTTCCCAAAGTTGGCTCCTCGTTCCTCAATGCGATTGTCCACTTGCCAGGTGTGTGCCCACTTGCTGTAAATCTGACCATCGGTGAGCAGTCGCTTGGGCCTTGCTTCCTGCAGATTTGGACTGATGTCATGTGTTCACAACTTTGTGATCAAGAGAAGTTCAGATGCAAGACTGACCTTCGCATGCCACACCCACCTATTGACGATTATTGGGCTGAAAAGGGTACTTTCATGGGCTTTTTTCGAGACCCTGATCAGCGTATACTCTCTGGCTACCACGATGACATGGACAATCTTGCGTCTGTAAATTTCCGCGACTTCCTGCACAGATATGATGAGGAACCCTTGGCGCAAACGGCCAACTGCACTTCGGAGGAAGGAGCTCCCAAAATTCCAATTCTGGAGTTTGCCGAGTCGTGGAAAGGTGGCATGACGTATCAGCTGGTGGTAGAGCATCCAACCACGCAAACGCTGGATCCGGACCGCCTGACGATGACCCGCGCAGATGCACAGAAAGCAGCCCAAAGAGTGCGGGATGGCTTCGCATTTGTTGGCATCACAGAGGAATGGAGCTTGTCAGTCTGTCTGTTTCACAAGATGTTTGGGGGAAGTTGCCTACAGTCTGACTTCGCAAACACCCGGCCTTCAGCTGCAGGGAAGTCTGCCCACGTGGCCTACAACACATCGGAGCTCATGGGGTGGCATGATGATATTGATGAAGTGGTGTATGCTGCCGCCCTTGATGTGTTCCGCACAAATTTGGTTTTATTCAATGTGTCACACAGCACATGCCAGGAGTGTTACAGTCGAGGGGTAGCCCACAACATATAGACCGTTTGCTTGTAATTGCCCCCGCACGCAGATAGCGTTTCACCCCAGACGCAGACAGCGTTAAGAAGCGAGTTCGCCTGACGGACTCGGTATATACATGCCTGAAAATCGGCGCCTAGAACCCCAAAAAGGAACCATCAGACTCAGATTTCCCAACTTTTTGCGCACCAGAATGTGCTAAAGCCCTGCCTTTAGTAGCTCTGGGCACATGCATCCTGAAAGCGGCTGCCAGAACTTGATCATGATTGGAACTCCACCAAACAAGGAACGTACAGTTCTGAGCCTTGCTGGCCTGAAGAAGCCAACACTAGTTTCCATTCGGTTTTTGTTTGCTTCTCCATTTCTGGGATTATCCCTGAACCTTATAGAGGGCCTCATATAACCCTAACCCTGTATAACTTTTGTTTAAGTGGTTAAGGCTTTTCCTTCAGGGCAGCTTGTGGCTCAACTTCAAAAACCGAATGTGTACGTACCACTTGGAGATGTGCGTGCTCTTGTCCAGCTTGGCGGTTCTTGCAGCTTGACCGGTGATGAATGTCGTAGACGTGGAGCCATATGAAGATTCGGTGGCCAGAGGTGCCTGGAGTGCTTCGTGTTGGCTGCAAGAGGGCTACACAGTATCGCACAGGTTAGCTACCGAGAGCGTCGCCAGTGCTGCAGGCCCGCTCACAGGTCACATGCACGCTGAGGATTTCACTGACTTTCAGGTGCCCTTTGGTACCAGTGTCTTCGCATTCTTCGGGGTGCTGATATTGCTTCTCGCAGCTCACGAGTTGTATACTGCTGCAAGCAAGAAGCCACTTTTGGCAGATCACGAGCGCAGCAACAACTTTCGCATCCAGTTTATGTTCTTGATCATTTGGTTCGGCTTCTTCGTGAACTCCTCGCTGATAGTCCCCCTCTCCCTGGACTACGCTATCGCTATGGGCCAGTCTGCTACAGCTAGCGGCGTGTTCCTGGGCTGTGGCACAACCCTGAGCGTGGTCGGTCTGATTGTTGGAAAATCCTTGAACAGTGAGACAAACTGGAATCAGGCCTTTGCTCGAAAGACGTACATCTGCTTTAACTCTCTTTCTATTGCTCTCAATTTGTCTCTAGCTTTTTTGACGCAAGCGAGTGTCCACTGGAGTTTGCCGGCTAGACAGCAGTTCTTCTGGTGGAGTCAGCTCTTGCTGGGCTCTGTGTTCGGTGCTGCAGCGTTGCCAACCATCAGCTGGAACACATTATGGAATAAGATCACACCTCCGCAGGAGAAGACCTTCTGGATGATCATGGCTCAGTGCTGCCGAAATGGCGGTTTCCTTCTTGGCCCGCCCCTATTCGCCGCGATTAGTTGGGCTGTACGTCGGGGCCGTGACGCCTCTTGGCTCAATGATACAAAGCCCTGTGATGAGGTCAAGCTTAAGCTTCAAAAAGGCAATTGAGCCTGTGCCAGGTCTCCCCCATCTCCTTGATGGCGTGGTCTTTCATGGCTTTGGCAGGGTGGTCTTTGCTGAGCTTGATGTATGCGTCGCTAACCTTCCCGCTCAAGATCAACCCGTTGCCTGAGACACCAGCTGAAGTCCATGAAAAGAAGTCTGCACAGGCATTGGAGGTCAGCCCGGAGCAGTTGCCCCCAGCTGACCGTGAGAAGATAGTCTGGCTCATGATTTACTATGCCTTCGAGAGGCCCTTCTCTGTTGCATCGATTGAGGTGGCCACAATCATGCTGCTAGAGGTTTCATATGGATGGACGGCGGAGTTCTGTGGCACCGCTTTCATGGTGATTGCCACATCCTCTCTTGCTCTCACAGCATGCTCCACATTCATGTTGTCCAGCAAATTGATGACTGAATCCATGGTCTTCTTCGCTGCTTCGTTGTCGGGCCTGTTTGGCGTCTTCCTCCTGTTTGGTAATTCCGGGCCCGGGAGCCTTCTCCTTGCGGACGCCATCGTCTACGGGGGTGCCAGTGTTGCCAATGGCATTGGGGAGGGTTGGGCGTGCCGAGCAGCTACACCCGGCACAAGCTACAGTATTGAAGCTTTCCGCGTGCGAAACATCATGGGCGTGAACATCAGCCGATTTTTGGCCCCCATCGCTGCCCGCTTCATTGTTGACTTCGGTGGTCGTAACATCTATGCTTTGCTGCAGCTTGTCCTCTGTACCTTGGGGACTTTGACCGTGTACAAGACTGTGTCCTTGGTGTGGCAAGGCACGTGCTGCGCTGAAGAGGCACTCGACGCAAAGCTGAGCCTCAACACGGAGGATGCCATCTGCAAGGACGCAAGTGACCCCAAGTAGCGCAAAGTCACACGAACGCTCTGCCAAGAAAATTCTGCGAGGCTTAGGTTCTAGAAGCTTCCACAGTCCCCAGAACTTCGAGTCGAGAAGAGTGTAGAAGACCCAGGGTAGGAGTTGCCAATATGTAAGTATGTAATCAAGTGCTAGAGGGCTTTTCCAGTGACGAAGCTCTTTCCCTGCGATTCTTGATGCAGTTCGCTGAAAGACTTTAATGAGAGCAAGTACGCCCTGCTCCAAACGCATACGAAGGCAGTTGGCTAATCTTCTCAAATCTATGCTTGTAACTTCCGCTCGCAGATAATGAAGCCATGGCAGAATCTTGTGGGCATGGACACGAAACTCCCTCATCCATTCCTGGCTTCTGAGCTGTAGAAGCTAACTTCGGCGAGGCGTCGTTCGGCTAACACAGCCAGTTAGCTAGCACAGCCACGTGAAATAAAGGCACATAGTTTTCTGATCTGCAATCATCCCTGACATGGCTGTTAGTAGCAACAGGGCGTACAGGAGCCTTGGGCAAAGAAAGTGGAAACTACTGCATGGAGCAGTACCGTTCATTTGCTTTAATTACCATTGTTCCGGAATTGAAAATGGCAGTTTCCCCACGCAATGTCTTCAGCTCTGAAGGCTAGGTGCCCGGTCGCTTTAATTTTCGCTCACAATGAGCTTTTGCCACGGGCTCAAGCGGGACTTGCAAGAGTCCTTGTTGAGCTCGAATCCCAGATGTTGGAGCAGAGGGTGTCCCATGATTGGCATCTTAGGCTGCTGTGCATCACCCTAACAGCCCCCACGTGCTGGCTCACCCAGCCCTAAACCCTAAACCCTAAACCGTAAAGGTGGACAAGTGTGGGAGAGCCGAGGTCAGCTTTGATCCGTCAGTTCTGCAGCGACATCCCCGAGGCACTTTACAAACCAGGCGGGGGGCTGTGCGCGGCTGCAGGGCAGGAAGCAGGTGTATGCGTGGGCGATGTCTAACGTGAACATACTTCGCGGCAGCTTTTTATAGCTACTTTGCGAAGACCCCCCAACCATCAAGTGCTGTTTTCAGAAGACTACCTGTTGCAAGGACGGCTGAGGTAGACTGTGATAAAAATCTTCGATCAGTACGATGGTTTGTTTAGATGCGTGGAAACAAGACCGTTTGGCTTGACCTGCTCAAGGCCGTGCGCGGCCGCTGAAAGCAAACGATGTGCCGCATTAGGTTATGCGGCATTTCTTTTTCCTGTGGTTTCACTTAGTAACTCTCGTAGCTCCTCCATTGCGTGCGTCTGGCGGGGAAGCTGAACCTGCTGCATGCGCACTGCTGCAACATGGCCTAGTCCTACGAGGCCCGCAGGAGCAACGTCTCCAGGATGCGCAGCCCATCTCCTGGCTGCATTTCCCCAAAGCTGGAAGCTCCTTCATCAATGCAATTGTTCACTTACCCGGAGTTTGCCCTTCCATGAGCAACCTTACCATTTCGAAAGACTTGCTCGGAGAGTGCTGGTTGACCAAGTGGAACTTGAACTTTTGTCAGAAAGCCTGTGAATTCGACAAGTTTACATGTCCAGAACACCCGGCATATGAAAAGCATCCTACAATCACGGACTATTCTGCCCAGCACGGAAAGTTGATGGGCATGTTCCGTGATCCGGATCAGCGCATACTCTCTGGATACCATGATGACGCAAACAATCTTGCCGCCATCAATTACGCGGATTACCTACACGAAGACCTCCGGATCCAGAACTGCACATATATGGGGGATGACGTGCCGAAGGTGCCAATTCTAGACTTTGCTGAGTCGTGGAAGGGTGGCATGGCATACCAGGTTTTGACCGAGAACCCCAGCACACAAACACTGGATCCCAAGCGTTCAAAGATCACTCTGGAAGATGCACAAGAGGCTGCTCAGCGGGTGCGTGATGGCTTTGCATTTGTAGGAATCACAGAAGAGTGGGACCTGTCCATATGCCTCTTCCATAAGATGTTTGGCGGCGCTTGCCATGCAGGGGACTTCGAAAACACACGCCCCAGTTCCCCTGGAAAGTCGGCGTCCATGAACTACGACGTGACGGAGCTGATGGGCTGGCACGATCACGTGGATGCTGTGGTGTACGCAGCTGCAGTCCAAGTGTTCGAAGCAAATCTGGACGCTTTCGACGTCTCTCACCGGACGTGCCAGGAATGCTACCTCGCGGCCAACAGAACAAGCGGCGAGGTCACTTGGCACGGCTCAACTCTGCCAGGCTGAGTAGTCTTGATCGAAGTCAAGTAGCTGTTCAGAGCTGGCGTGTTACAACCGGCAGCGATGGGAAAGACGTTCCCAAAGCAAATGTCGCCGCGTTTTCGTTCTCGCGGAACAGACAGCGGCTGCTGAAAACCTGAGTTTAAGGTTCGCTTGGGGGGTTTGGGCTCCTGCACAGGCACGCGAGTGCAAACACGTTAGCAATCGGCCTTCAGATTTGTTTCAGAAACTTGCATATCTTGCATGAAGACATGACAACAAGCTCAAAAATGTCTAGAAACCTCGGATTCACACCCAGCAACCTGCATTAACCGGTTATGCAGCGCTTACTTGAACTCTTCAGGAAGAGCATGTTGGGAAGATTGCGCGCTCCGTAGGGTTGTTCTCACGACCAGGACAGCATGCGCCTCAACACCGAGGATGCCATCTGCAAGGACGAAAGTGCCCCATTCAGTGCAAAGTCTGCTGAATCTGACACTTCCTGGAATCATCTCATATCTCATCCAGTCGTGCCTCTGAGGCCCCGGCTTTACGAGCTTGCTCCACTTCTTTCTCTTGCTTAACGCGCTCGGCCCTTGCCACAGAAGTTTGGCTTTCTTAATTTTTCTTAATGACCGCCCTCCTTCCTGTCCGTACGCCGCTTGGGGCATGACTGTCTGAAGATTACTCACCTGAAGAACCGAAACCTTTGACCACCTTGAACTTTGGCATCTGAAGCATCAAGGAGCATCATCCGCACCCTGTGTCAAGGCTAAGGCACCGAACCTTGAAGAGAAGATGGAAACGAGAAGCCCAAGCCCTTCTTTGTGTTTGCGGGTGGCAATATTTCGCAGAAACCCAAAGCCCCTCTTTCTCTCTCGCTCGCTCGCTCTCTCTCTCTCTCCCTCTCTCTCTTTGTCTGTCTGTCTTCCTATCTTTCTCTGCCCCTCCCTGCTTTTTCGGCTCCTGGACACCCTTCTCCCCTCTCTCGCGCTCTCTCCCTCACTCTCTCTCTCTCTCTTTCTCTCTTTCTCTTTCTTTTGTGCGTGCGCTCGCGCGTGCGTGCGAGCACACGCATCAGAAGCATCAGCGGTGGGCGTGGCCGAACCTTAACGGGGAAGGGGGCAGAGAGTGGAAGAAGTGGGGGAGACATCTTTTTCAGAAAGCATCGATAGGGGGGTAGGAGGTGGGGAGTTCCAAGGAAAGTTGTTGGGTAGTGGAAGGGGTTGGGGGGGGGGGGGTCGGCTCAATGTTTTCGGCCCTTAGCGCAAAGCCATGTCTACCTCCTTAGATCGGGTGGGGTAGAGAGGCGGGCGGCGGGGGGGTCAGCGTGGGCTTGCTGAGGCCCACTAAACTTTGCCTCATGTGCACTCTTATCTATAAAGGGAAGGGGTAGAGAGCACTGATGAGGGAGAGGGTAGACAGGTAGCGGCATAAGGGGAGAGGCGAGGGGGTATAAATCTCTTTTAGCCGGGGCGGTGGGAGGGTTTGGGGCTGCGCTGGAGCCGTCAACAAGTCCATTTTACCCTCCATAAGCGTCGATAGAGGGTAGGAGTAGGAAGTACAAAGGGGAAGAGTTAGGTGTCGGAGAGGGGGCGAGAATGGGTCTTCACTGACGCCGCAAACTCCCAAACACAATTCTGCACCCTTTTGGACTGGCTTTGATATAGGCCCATATAGGTGCCCTCGAAAATGGGGCACCCCAAATTCAAAATGCATCCAAATATATTGCAACAATCCCAATGCAGGGACTCCCAGCAAGGGAAAGAAGTGATGCTCTTGCGTTCAACTCCAAACTTCAAAGCTTCAAGCAACCCACATTCGGTTCCATTCCCTTGTTTCTTGGTGGTCGGCAGCAGGGAATGCAGGCCACGGAAAAGACGACAGAAAGTTGTTCGCTTTCCAGTCTGATCGGAATGCGGTTTTAGAGGAGGTTGTCAAATGTGTGGCTCCATCAGATGAAGTGGTTCAGCAGTGTCCGCACATTTTACAGCAACAAACTCAGTGGCGAACTAGCTTGCGCAAGAGAGAGCAGGATTTCATCTATCCGTCAGCCCACTGGCGGTGGCACGTTGATATTTAATGCTTCCCGGTTTCGGTCAAGCCGGTACCACGAACCCCCGAAGCCCCTGAAGCCACCATGCGACGAGGAGAATGGCGAATGCCGAATGCTTACACGAACCTCGCCAAGGGACTCTAGTTGTAGGAAGCTTCCGGTCATAGTGGGCTGCTCGTGATTGCTGCCGTCACATGTCCATCGTTTCGACGCAAGCGGGACATGTCCAACTCTCTGGCGAAACCTCCTGCGCGTTCAGGAGCGGATGCTGTTGCAGCGCGAGCTTTGTGGTAATGTTAATGTCATTTTTCCCAGACTTTGGCCTCATGTCAGAGACGAGCCAGTTGCAGAGTCACAGGGACACAGCAGGACGGTTTCAGTGGGGATTTCAGTCATGAAGCCTCAAGGCTGTGGAGCCAGGGTTGGAATCGGCAAAGCACAGAGCCTCACAGCTTTTTTTTTTTTGATTGTTGGTTGGCATTTGGTGGACCACGATCAGCGAATTTACGGCAATCTGGATTATGATCTCAATATACTCACTATGCAGGTCTTGCAGCTCGTGTGTCCGAATCATTGGTGACTTATGAAGTCCAGGGTCTTTGGCGGAATCCTGTCTGAAAGACGTCGGATTTGGGGCTTACCCTCCACGATGGTTTGTGGATGCACATATGCAGATTCACATGCACATTGGCGGGATGCATGGATGGATATGGATATGGATGGAGGAATAGATCGGCACGCAGGGTGCCTCTTTTGGGCGACAAGACCTGCCTGGCTGTTGCGGAGGGTGCCTTGCCCTCCACCGTCTCAGGGAGCCCCCTCGCGTCATAGGCAGACCCCGCCCAAGACTCAAGGTCGATGACAGTAGTGGGTCCTCCAATTTCATTCTCGGCAACTCATGGCCAGACCTGCTTGGCAAGACTCAGCCCGTGGACCTCCACTTTCAGGGGGGGGGGGGGCCTCTCCTTGGGCGGGATCCTGGACACGGAGCACGTTCTTAGCACGGTGGCTTCAGTTTGCCTTCGCAGAAGTAGATGTGCAGACTCAACTATGTAAGCGCACGCTGGAGATTACTTTACAAACCTCCAGTCACCAGTGCAAAACTCAAGACGGCAGTTGAAACATACACGCAATCGCCCCATAGTGTGGAAGAGCACTTTTCCAGTCCAATTATGAGAGAACTAGCTTGTCAAAGATTTAATGGCTACCGCCAGTGCCGCCGACCCCTCAACCTTATGGATCGTATTACACTCACCTTCCGGGTCCTGTCTTTGCTGGACCGTGGTGTAAGGACACTACACATATATAGGCAAAAGAACCACAACCCGATAGCAAAAAAACAAACCCTAAACCCTAAACTCGAATCCCAACAAAACCTTCGAATCCTTGCCCTGCCACTGACGCCCTATGTACCTACGTGGGCAACGCCGCGCTGTCCGTGGTGGCCCGGGGCCCAGGGCATGCACTGGAGGGTGGGCGGGAGTGGGGCATGCACTGGAGCCCTTAAAACACGCCAGTCTGACAGCAAGGCAGCGGAGGGGGTCGGCGGGGTTGGTGGGAAGGGCGGGGGGAGCGGGGGGGGGGGGGGGGGCAGCGAAGGAGGGCTCGGCTGCATGGAGCCCTTTAAAAACACTCCATTCTAACAGCAAGGCAGCGGGAGGGTGGGTGGCATGCACGGAGCCTTAAAACACCATTCTAACAGCAAGGCAGCGGGGGGAAGGGCGGGGGAGCACTGGAGGGCCCTTGGTGAAAACACTCCATTCTAACAGGGAAGGGGGGGGGGGGGGGGGGGGGGCGGGGGGGGGGGGGGGGGGGGGGGGGGCAGCGAAGGGAGGGCTCGGGCATGCACTGGAGCCCTTAAAAACACTCCATTCTAACAGCAAGGCAGCGGGAGGGGTGGGCAGGAGTGGGGCATGCTGGAGCCCTTAAAACACGCCAGTCCGCGGTGGTGGGAAGGGCGAAGGGAGCGGGGGGGGGCGGGGGGGGGCGGGGGCAGCGAAGGGAGGGATTCTAACAGCAAGGCACGGCTTTTTGGAGCATGCACTGGAGCCCTTAAAAACACTCCATTCTAACAGGGAAGGGCGGGGGGAGGGGCGGGAGGGCTCGGGCATGCACTCCTTGAAAACACTCCATTCTAACAGCAAGGCAGCGGGAGGGGTGGGCGGGAGTGGGGCACCTTAAAACACGCCAGTCTGACAGCAAGGCAGCGGGTGGGAAGTGCGGGGGGAGCGGGGGGGGCGGGGCGGGGGGGGCGGGGGCAGCCCTTAAAAACACTCCAAGGGGGAGCGGGGGCGGCGGGGGGGGGCATGCACTGGAGCCCTTAAAAACACTCCATTCTA